GGCTATCTTTCAAATGGTGTACTGACACAGTCCTAGAAGTTCCTCTGGATGAGGGAAAGGCCTGGCCTTGAAAGTCGGAAGTTGGAACATTTTCCCCCTAGATGCTCTGAGGGAGCATCTTTGTGGACCACAATACATCCTTGGAATTGACTTTGGCCTGGTCAGAGTTGAGACTGCTTTGAGTAGTGATCTGTGAATGAGAATAAATGTACTTTTATACTATTACATCCTGTAACTGAGTTTAAAAAAATACAAATCATGCATAGATGGGTTAGCTTTGGCTAGCTAAGGGAAATCATACACCTCTCTTCCTTCTTTTTTTTGTTTTGTTTCTAAGACTCAGAATCATGAACCACAGTTGGCAAGCAAATCTGATTTTTATGATATTTTGTGGCTTTAAGTAATTTAAAGCAACTAAATCCTACTGATGTTGTATATTACTTTTTTCGTTTATCTTTATTGTTGAAAGTATTACAGATTTCCCCTCTTTCCCCCATTGACCCCCTCCAACAAACTCCTGTCCCCCACCCCCAGGCCATCCCAGTACTATTATCTGAGTTCATGGATTATGCATATAAATTCTTTGGTTAATCTTTTTCCAGCCCCTCTCCCCTTTCACTCTGAGATTCCTCAGTCTACTCCATGTTTTTTTTTTAAAATATAAAAAATAAAAGAGGGGGGCAGAGGCAGCAATCATTGATTTATTGTAAACTTATTTTTACCCATCAGATCATTCCTACTTTATGTATATATTTTTCCAAATACATATTTGCTTACAGTAATACCTGCTCTTCATTTTTGTAAATTATTAGGTCATCAAATACTCCAGCCAACTTATAAAAATTTACATTGGTTCCATCCAAACTTACCTGTGTGTTCTCTCCTTTTATTTTTTTAAATCTAGCTCTACCATTGTAAATCTCTTTAATTCCAGACAGTGTCTATATATGTGTTCTATATAAAAAACAAATATTTTCTGAATACATATCATATGCCAGACACTTTCCTAGAAGTTGGTTATACAGAAGTGAACAAACAAAACAGATATCCCTGCCTTCACAGAGCATACATCCTAGTGGGTAAGTCATCCAATATAAAACTTGTTAATATATGTGTCATGTAGGATACTTATAAATCTAAGGATTAAGTATTATTTAACTGTAAAGCAAGGAAATGGTAGAAGTATTAGGGTACAATTTTAGAGAGAAGGATCTATTCAATTCAGAAGCTAACATTTTAAAAGTTGTAAAGGAGGTTGGTCTGAAATTTGCCTTTGGTTTAGATATGTAACAAGTTTGTGAGTACTACATACAGGATAATAAAGAAGCTGTTGACTTTCTTTCAGAAAAATTCTCCTAATTTATCACTCTTGAAAGCTACTATAAACTCTGTCCATATTCATCTCAAGGGAACTTGCTTTAAATATTTTAAAAGGTATTACTTTATCACCAATAAACTATGATTACATTATGCATTATAACTGAATGTAGTACTGCTGTGAAAAAAAAACTATGCAACTCTCATCTTTTCAGTATGACAGCCCAGTTTTAGTTACATTTTACGGTGTTATATATATCCTAGCTTGTCTTAACTGCAAATTATGCAATTAAGGTACACACAAAAAGGGAAAGTAAGAATACATCAAGAAACCTAAATACAAAATTCACATCATTTAGAATTGAGCTAAACACACACAATAAAAACTCTACAACATGGAGGGTGAAGAAAATGAAAACATTTTCAAAGGTATTTATTGAGAAATAGTAAAGATGTACATATTTTTACAAGCTTTTAATATTAATTTACATTTCTTTAAATTATGTAGGCCCCCATAATCAATACTTTACTAATACATAACAGAAACCCTTGCCTTTGACTGTGAGATCTCCATAATGCTACCATAGTAGGGAGTCAAAATGCAACTTTGGCTCATGATGCTTAAGTGTGTTTTTAAAAGAAATTCTAATTGCCATATTCACTGAGAATATAGGCTTGTCAAAAACAAATGAGCTTTAAAATAATTCATACTGGAGCATGCTATTGACACTATTTTGCATCTTAGCTCATCAGAGAATGGAGAAAAAAATTTAGAGTTATTATCTACTGTGCACAAACTGTATGATTCTTTTCTTTTTTTTTGCCTCTGATTTTGATTTACAAACCTTTGAGGGGTATAGCGACTTAATCTTGTATGCGGTAATATTATACCCAGACCTTCTATCTTGATAATTAAGGTATAACACAAGATGGTTACCTTTCCTAGTCATATGCCACATTGGTACATAAAGTTAGCCAAAAATTCATTTTAGTGGCAGAATATTTTTCATACTGGCTTACCATAAGACACAATATTCTATGGATAAGTAGAATGTGGATATTGCCAAAAGGGCTGTTTTTTTGTTGGTTGGTTAATTTTTCTTTTTTCTTTTTCTTTTTTTTTTTTTCAGATCAGAAAGGATGAGGATCTTTGGTTATTAAAGTGGGAAGGGAAGGGTTCTAGTCTGAGCATGCTCAAAGTCTCATGACAGGTTGTGATGCTGGCTCAGTGGACTGCTCCATGGTGCCAGACAGGCTCTTCTCCTTCAACCCAGCATTTAGGTTTTATGCTGGCAGCCTCTCTGAGCACACGATCAGAGAAGATGAGTGTGGGAAATAGCACTGAGCGGTGCAAGCAGTGACCTCTCTCTTTGTCCCGGGAAGGGTGTTTCTCTCTGCACCTGCAGGTTTAGCAGCATAAGAAGCCTTGCTTGTTTAATATGAGAAAGAATTTAAACTTTAGATGTAATGCCACAATTTTGTCATTGAAAGAAACTGGCTATACCATTAAGATACTTTTGTTTTATTCACAGCAATAAATATTTACGGTTTTAGTGCACAAAATATAATTATTGATAATCAATGCAGTTCTTTAATTTGTCAAACTGTTATTTTTAAGCTACAGGCTAACAAAAATTAAGAATTATTATTATCATTGTCATTATTAGAAGCATTCCAACCTTAATTTGTCTGCAACTGTACTTAGGGCAGAGGTGGCCAAAAGCTAAACAACTTAAAGAGTAAGTATAGGTTCTGCGTGAGGAAATCACAAGCTTGTATAAAATTGGAGCTCCATTTCTTTCTGCCCAACATAAACATGGCCTTTGCATTCAGTAAAGAAATACAGATTTGTAGCCTGGAAAATAAAATCACATTTCTACAGTGAATGTTGTGATCAGTGTACAAACGGCTGACCTTATGGGAGCCACTGGAGCCTCCAATGGTGAGCTATCCCAACCAGCATCTGGTTGACCCCAGTTCCACAGTCTGACATTTAAACACAGAACTGCAGGTGCAGACGTCATGAAAACACACCTACATTTTGAAGTTTTAAATTTCCACAAGGGAAATCATGTCACACAAAATGACAAGAGAACCTGTACTGTGTTCCTAACATGGGCTACACACCAAGAAAAATAAAAATAAAAACACATGCAAACACAACAATGACAGGTTCTCTGTGCAATGAATGCAGTCCATTTTGCAGTAACAGTGCAGGCAGAAGCCAATGTATGTAGGTTTGTAATGGAGAGAAACTTGATTGATGTGCAAAGACAGAGAACCAGGTACTATTTCACTGCTGTAATTTTAGTAATGCTGCTAGGATCCGGCTCACTTGCTAATTTATTTTATGATGATATTCTAGGTAACATTTTCATTGATTCACTTTTTCCCCTAGAAACCGTCTGGGGCATCCACCTTCCACTACTAGAGACATTTCATTTTTGCAATGGCATTGGGGATAAATACACTTAGCTTTATTTTAAGCCTCGTTTACTCAATGTGAATTTTAAGCCATGTTTGTGGCATATTCTAAGAAAGTTTGTGATACTCGTTTATCATTTTTACCAGAATATTTTCTTCTATACAACTTACACTTATAAAAAAAACCACAATCAAAACAGTGCAAGTCATCATGAATATGGCAAGTCATCATTAATTTTCCCCAATAAAATTATAGAAAGGGTACTCAGGACTTCAACGTACACTTCACTTTCTAAGGAAAGGTCCCACAGTCTTTCCCACCTTCTGCTTATGATTGGATGCACAAATAGTTGCCTCATATAATTACTGGAATTATTAAGAACCCAAATAAAACACACGCTTTGTTTTATTAGTATTGTTTTCTTATTGCAACGGATATTCAGTTTCTCGTCGATGCAGTATTAAGCTTTGATAGCTTGAATTTTAAATTTGGTCATGTTAAGAATGATCACAAAAGTTTGATTTTTCAGTATCAACAGAGATTTTTTTTTTTTAACCAAAGTTACATTGTAACACACAAATGCTGTCTTATCTTTAAGGCACAACACATCAGTATGAACATTCTGTTTGCCAAACTTAAAAAAGAGACAATATTAGGTTCCCATCTTCCCCTCCCGCTCCCCTCCCCAACAAGTGAAAGAAACATTGTATCCACTTTCAAAGTCAGCTGCTAATAAAGTCACAGTAAATTATCTTCATCAATAATTTACACAAATTACAGGTTTAGATAGGATTGTCCTTATACAGTCTGAGTGCATTCCAATTCAGATTTTCTGGGCTAGGTAGGCTAAAGTCAGATTCAAACCTCAGGGCTGAGAAGATCTCCAGTTGTGAGGAATGTTGTTGAACACCACCTTGTCAGACGGAGCACGAGTTGGTGCTTTGCCAGGGTAAGAGTTCTTTGCTAAAACTGTTAATTCCAGTTAGGACTCCTTCGGTGTGTACCAGCAACCTCCACAGATTGTTTTGTTTTGTTGTGTTAAACCATGAAAGTGTTGTAAATATAAGACCATAGAGCTTCCTTTTTGTAGCACTAAAGTTCACCAATCTGAATTCTTCATTCTGGAATTTTCATTCCAAATATGATTTCATCCTTTAAGACAATTTGTATGTGTAAAGCCAGAGGCATTGAATCACACATAAAATTCAGTGTACTTGAAATATATATATAAAAAAACGGATCTCCAGCTAGAGAACAGTTACAAATACTCTAATTCCAGTGCTTGATGTAGAGCCAAGAGGTCTGAGTGACTTGATATCCTCCAAAAGGGCATGTTGTGCTGTGTGGTTAAGAGAGGGCGGGCGGGAAAAAGAAGGGGAAGGGATGGAGAGAGATCATAACTATGGTCTCAGTGAAGCAGCCATACACACAAGGATGTGTAGTCCACCCAGGTTGAAGGAAGGGAGTCTAGGAGAGGGATGATCTAAGGCTTGGTAGCATCAATATGACATTGCCAAAATAATAGAGAAATAGATCTGAACTGGATACTGATGGTAGGAAAAGTACATATAGAGGTTTTTTAGGTAGTTTACTATTTATTGTAGAAAGTATCATTATCAACAGCAGCATCTGGGAGAGCAATTTGGGCATCAAAATCCTATGTGGCTGATGGAAAGCAAGTTTTAATCATGACCTCACTCCTAAAGTTGCATCTCTCAGTTAAAAACAAAATTTAAACATGATAAACTTCCTAAGTCCAAGATCTTTTGTCTTTCTAAGAGGAAAAGAGTGAGTCCCTTTCTATGTAAAAAATTATTCGAAGCTGATCTATATAAGGTAGAAAACAATGTGGAGATGATCAACTCTCTTACTTTTCTGGAGTAAGTGATTTAAGTATGTAGGTTTGATCAATTTATTTCACTGTGGGATTGAGAGAAAGGACTCTTGCAATCATTTTCACTGGGGAGAAACAGTTAAAGGGACAAAAAAAGAGTTCTTCTGGGGCAAAAATTCTTAGGCATTACAATGGTTTGTGGCCCTATAAAAATATGCCAGTATCTGGTATCTGTGATGGCTTAAAATTTCATAATGGGGTGTTCTCAGAAAAATATGTATAAAATAACTCCATTGTGGATAATGAAAAAAAGGAACACTGTACTAGAACAATTAAGATCAAAGCATTACTTATAATTTTTGAATGATGGCATCTTATAAAATATATATTTATATATGAATTTGTATAATGGAAATACAGTTGTATAAAAAATGAAGAATATATTTTATTATAAAATTAATCATTAAAATAATAATCACTATTGTTACATAATTCTTTGCTGTTTAAAAGGATAGCCAGTAGTCCCATGTGGTTATTGAGCATGTGAACTCTGGCTTGTCCAGTTCAAAATATGTATTGAATATTAAAAAAGAGAATGTAAACATCTTATTAATAATTTTCATATTTGTAATGAGTTGAGACATAATATTCTATATACATTGGATTAAAATATATTACTAAAATTAATTTTGTCTGTTTTTTTACTTGTTTTTTTAAAAAAAAACAGTTTCTAGAAAATTTAAAATTACAAATATGGTTTGTATTATATATTTCTATGGGGAAATGCAACCACATTACTATTCCTAAACTCTAAAATTTCTTTTTCATTTTACAAAAAAAAACTATATTTTTAGGTCAAATTAAACACATCAAGTCACCTAGAATTACATTTTTTTCATTCAGCTCAGATCTATTTGTAATAATAAAACAGTACTTAATACTTCTGCACATGCGATTACAGCTACATTCAAAGAAAAGCATGCATTATGGTCACTAGAGAAACCAACCACCTGTGTTTCAAAATAGAATTATAAGCCTTCACCATCACCAAAACTGTACCTACATAAACAACCATTTGGAAATAGCATTCTGATCGAGATTCTTATCCTTCTGGAGTCATCCTTTTTCTCTTGAAGTTTTAGGTATAAAGCAGAAGTCACAACAAACTGGTACCCCAAATCTATTAATACTTTTCATGCTATAAACAACTAGGGTGCAAGTTTTCATTTTCAAAGGCATAGACTGTTTCTGGTTTGGAAAAGTGAATTTTATTGCCCTGACCCAAATATATGTGAATGTCACATAGGCTAAAAGACATGGAAAATGTTCACTTGTAGTGGCTTGCACTGACTGCTAATTGTTGTGTGTTATTATGGTATCCACATGAAGATTAAAGCAACATGGACTCAGGACACAGAGACAGACTCCAGCAGGTATTTCTACTTGTGTGTGACTGGAAGGATTTCAAACAGTAGTCCGCAATGAAAGCTGCATTTCTGGAGGCCGCATCCCTGCCACATCATACAGAATGTCCATAGGCCAGATGCTCTCTAGGGTCACCAATGGCTAATTAAGACACAGGCCCTCTGTGGGAGGCTGAGCCTGCACAGGCTCTCTGAGTGCAAATGGCTGCCAACACGTCAGCACACCTAGTGCTAAAGTGGGAACTCTTACTCTTTCTCCATTTTGCTTGATTTAAATTGACTACACACACAAATCATCTCCTTTCTCTTTTTAGGAAAGCTCTAAACTTTTCTAGGAAATTGTTTATGTTGATTTGGGGGGGGATCAGGTAAACACCTCAGCACATGTGAGTGTTTAGTGAAGGCTTTATTGATGATGATTTGAAATCTCCTCGGGATAAAGAGAACAGCATTCTTTCTACTGAAACAATATTAGTTGATGTGTCATTGTTTCCAAATATTAATTCATCATTTTGCTTTGTTTATAAATTGTATCACTATTGTCTTGGCTGGATGATATTAGTTTTGCTATCATTCAGAGAAGGAAGCAGTATGTCTCTGTTGTGTTGACCAACAGCTTGGTGTCTGGGCCAATCCTGGTATCATTCCTCTTTTGATCTTGGACCAACCATTTAATGGTTTTTTTTTTTTTTATCTATCTTGATATCTTCCTCAGAAATATGGGCCAGATGAAAAGGCTTATTTAAATACCTAGGACCTAGGGGAACTTCTGAATATGTTCCAAACCAGCTGCTTGGCTCCAATCACGTTGCAGTGACTCACCAAAATAGACAACACGCTTCTAGAAGATGTGAGGCATGTTGCCTCTAAGTCTCTACAACAAGTTGTTGGCACAAAAGGATCTGAATAGTACATCCCATTCCAATAGCGCCTATTCAATTTTCTCACAATAGTTTCTCCTTCTACTATTAAATTTACCCTCAGCATCTGTCACCAGGGAGCATACTTGCTACCAGGCACACACAGGGAACATATGGCATAGAGGAGGGTGGGGAAAAGGGTAAGAACTGAATCCCATGGTTTTCTATGAAGCTCATTAAACGTCTTTATATTGTGAAATTCCATGTGCTTAAAACTGGTTATTTCCCCCCATCTTTCTTATAGACCATTATATCAGTCTCTCTCTTTCTCTCTCTCAAATAAATATAACTAAATTTTCCTGTATTTCCTGTCAAATTTCAGGCAAAAAAATGCTAAACTCCAAATGGTTTATTTGAATGTAAGTATTGACCTTCTCATGCTCTTACTGCTTTGCATCTATAAATGGAAATCACTTATCAAGCTGCCATTGGGCCAAACTACAGGAATGCAAACGAAAAAGCTTGCATTAGAAGTATCACACCAACATTGTTTGAGACAGGTTACCTTTTTTGCTGCCTGTTCTTCTTCTACACCATCCCCAATAACAACATATACTACTTTTCTGCCAAACCTTTGCATTATTCGTTCAAAGCAACTTTCTTTTCCTGGAAGATAAATGAGATAAAGTTCAGAGTGAAGTTACCTGGTTAGCGGCATGCTCCTCATCTCGGCCATCTCCAATCACAACATAAGTTATGTTAGTGCCAAATCTGGACACTATACGCTCAAAACAGCTTTCCTTGCCTGAAAAACAATGCACTGCTTATTCTTCCAGCCATTGCATTCATTAACCTAAAGATTCATATAAAGTGGCAAATTAATTTCTCTTGAACATCAATCACTTAAAACTAGCTAACTAGCTTGCAGCCTCTGGGTTAATAAAATCATCAAATATATTTGAACAATTTAAGTCTTTGCTTGGGGACAGATTATCAAACAAATGTGTTCCATGCTTCAGAAAAAGCTATAGGGTCAAGCATTTGACTCAGAGAACATGTTAGTATCGTTCACTCCACCAAAAGGATATAGAAAAACCTTGCAAGCAACTGTAGGTTTTAACATCTATCTTTTCATTTTTGCCAGTTAATGTTAAATAGTATAGACAGGTAAGCTGAAAACATTATTGTGAATTATTGAGGTTCACCTATAAGGAAAGAGGGAATACTACGATGTGGATTTACCTTAACAGATAACTTTTTATTCAAGTGGCTGGAAGCTAGTCTGCCCAGAATAAGTGCACTAAGAGAGCTGTTTGGGCGACAGCACTAGTGACTCCATATCCCCTGACTGCACTATGGGAATACCACACAGGACCTCTACTTGTTCTTTCGTTTTAAAACTTTGGCATTAGTCTCTGATTTTCACTCCCGGAATGCTCATGTAGTCATGGTTATTTCTGTACTCTTTTTTAACCAAAAAAGTTCCAAAAAAAAAAAATACTAACTTAAAGGAAAATATAAAAATGATTTTTTTAGATTAAAAATTAGAAATAGTTTGGCCAATAAATAAATATTATCCTTACTAGAAGAAATGCTTATTCTGGTTTAAAATTATTTGATTTTTCATACAGCAAAATTCTATATATTAATCCTGCTAGCACAAATACACACATTTATGCAAAAATGAATGGGGCTGAGAGCAGGGCTCTGAACTGCAGTGCTTAAGACAATGTAAAATTTATTTTTTCAAAGACTGGCTCTCGTTCACTGCACTCCCGAAACAGCTGCAAGGAGGGCTCCTTTTGCCTGTGTCAATATCAAAACTCTGCAAGGCCCGGGGCAGTTATTTTTGGGAAGGGATTTTAGGATTTTGAATTTCTCTTGTCGAGGTGCCAGAGCCTAAGTTTGCTGACCTTCAGGGCACATTACCCAACCCATCTATTTCCCCAAGCGTTTCCTTGACAGACAGAGAATACACGCACTGTTTTCTTTAACTCTTTCAGGATGGCACAAGTTGATGAAGTTTTGTTTTTCAAACGTCTTAGTCTGTGAAGGGCACTTGGAGTAAAAGAGGATGCCACAAATTGATATTAACCAAAGAAGCAAGGTTGTTATCCTTTGATTGCTACTCAACATTTTTGGAAATGTGGGTTTCCAGCCATTCAGGTGTTATGAATGTTTCAATTATGTTTTCTAATTCATGAAATTATTAATTTTTTTTCTGGAATTAAGGACTAGTTCAAGCCATCTGATACTCTCATGTCAAAATAGTATTTTTATATTAAATTTAGATTACATATGCAAGGATAAAATACTATGTGCCATGCTAAATAAAATATTAAATGCCATGGATAGAGATACAGTGTATCATTCGGAAAACATGTGCCACGACGATGAAATATATCTATAACAATAAAAGCGTAATATGCTAATTAGATCAGATATCCTTCCAGGTGACCTTCCGAACAAAGCCAGGGCTGCAAGGGAAGCCTGGGTCCCAGATGCTGCAGGGAAGTCGAGGTCCTGGAGCCAGAGGGAAGCTGGTGCCAGCACCCAGGGGAAGGAAGGTCTACTCTTGCACAAATGTCATGCATAAGGTCTCTAGTGTGTGTGTGTGTGTGTGTGTGTGTGTGTGTGTGTGTATATATATATATATATATATATATATATATATATATATATATATATTAAAATGAGTCAGAACTACCCAGTTGCTGGGTTCAGACAACAGGTTTTATGAAATTTGCATTTGCAAGAAGCGTTGAAGAGGACTTTGTTATTTGAGTGCTATCCAAATGTGCTTGATGTTCTAAAAGCAAAATTGATGACCCAGAGAATCATGCAGAGACTTGCTTTAAGAAAATCCCCCAAACAAAGAAGTGAACACATTTCATACAGATTTAGAGGTAAATTTCTTACCTATTTTAGTTGCACTGTAAATATTCTCAATGGGGAAAGCACCTCCTAAACTATAGAGTAGAACCTTCGCAAGTGCTGGAATCAGTTGCGTTGTCGTTACCAAGACATTTACACAGTTACTCCTAAGATAGGGAGGAAATACACATATTTGTTTTCTAATAATAAATAGTCTCTTTGAGTATAGATTTTAAACTATCACTGTTCTCAATTCCATAGTATAAAGCACCTGATATTCTAATCATTTATTCAACAGTTATCTATGAAGTGCTATTACATGGCAGGCACCATGGCAAATGCTAGAAATCTATCCCCAAATGGGGAAATAGAAGAAAGTGGGCAAAAAGTTGTGGATGTATGGGTGTTATTCTCCCCTTCTGGATCGCAAGATAGATACAGAGACAAGTGAATAAGACACCAGCAATGTTAAATGTGTGCTGTAATAGCTGTCTTGTCAGGTCCCTGTGGAACCTCAGAGAACACCTACCCCAGCCTTTAGCCCAACCTTGGCAAGGTTATGAGAGGGAGGATGGCCTAACTCTAAGTTTTAAATGTATCCAGAACAGGTGTTGGTTAGGGTGATAAGACTCTGAGTCCCCAAGTGCTCAGGCCCTGGGAAAGTAGAGGACATAGGCAGAAAGAGGGTGATCGGGTAGGTGACAGGAGTTTTGGGATTTTGTACAAGAAATAGCATAGATGATGGATCCTGAAGAAGGAAGCCTGGAGAGGATCCTTATTTAGTACAGAAGGGACTGAATCCCTGAAGCTCCTCTTCAGCGACAATAAAGGGCAATTGCATTAATGGCTGAAGTTTTAGTCCTCTTCAAAGGTCCGTCCTTTGAGAGTGAGAGTCTCTCATTCTGCAATTTATAACCATTTTTTTCCTGTTAGTACTGGGTGGGGAGAAAAAGGAAACGCCAAGAGAGTGGAGATTGCTGTGAGGCAGAGACCCAGGAAGAAGAGACGGTGGTCCTCCTTCTATGGGAAATTGAGCCATCCTACTTGGAGGGGCTCACAGCCACACCTGTGAAATCGGGAATCAGAGGGCACATAGCATAATCTCTGTTAGATTGTTTGTTTCATGAGTTTTTAATGCATATTGGTGAGGGCTGTAAAACATTCTCTATATTAATTTTCAGAAACCTGGCCTCAATAATAATCTCTATATAATTGTATTATATATAACACATGTAGAATCTATATAATAATGTCATAACCTTTGGTTTGTAAATAATGAAAGCTGCTGAACTCTTCCCCAGAGACATACATGTGCCACTATGTTTTATACAGAATTTCAGGGTCTCAGGAATCCTCACCCCCAGCTTTCTTGACCTTTGGTCTCTGTGTCACCAGTTACATAGATCTCAAGGCAGCAAGTCAAATCATAAAAGCAACCTCCAATTGTTAGACAGTTCTTCCTCTCATGGAGCAAGACCCCCTTTCTTAGGATTCCTACTCAGCAGTTGTAATTCTTTCCTTCACAGACACAGAGAAATGTAATTTGTTCTCAGCCTAACATCTCAAGTAATTGAACTGGTATTATTGTTCCACACATGACTCTTCTTCAGACTAAACCCTGTGGTTCCTCCCTCCAACTATTCTTTTTAGCCTAAACCCTCTGGCCATTGGAAACAAGAAGCTTCAGATATGTCACAGCCTGTTGGAATGTAGTTCCCAGAATGGAGCAGAGTACCTTGTCCTGGCTTCCCCAGCCTGACCCAGTGGGCCACTCCCCTCCGCCTCCCCACTTAGCCTTTCTGTGATCAGTGCAGTTGCTGGTCATGGCCCATGCCTAGAAACTGGGCACAGGATCTGACACACTCCTTCACTTCCATGTTCCGAATATTGGACTCTCTTTCTACCCTGCCAAGGTTTTCCTGTATGCTGACTCAAACAGCCCAAATATCCTCTTTCCCCCTGAATTGTATGTTATCTACACTTTGCTAAGCATGAGTTTATTTACTCACTTACTCAAATGAAACTAAGAAATATGATAATTCAAAGACTTACCTCTCACCTTTCTAGCTATGACTTCCAGATTTACATTATTTTATTCATTAGCATTTATGGCACATGCTATTAAATTAGATATAAGTCTATTCAATACTATTATTGACATTAACAAGTCAGTACTTCACTGCTTAGTTCAAACAGCACTAAGGTTACAATTTTTTCCAGAGTTTTCCTTTTTTTAAAAAAACAAAACAAAACACACACACATATATTTTTATTGATTTCAGAGAGGAAGGGAAAGGGAGAGAGAGAAAGAGAAACATCAATAATGAGAGGGAATCATTGATTGACTTCTTCCTGTACACCCCACACTGGGAATTGAGCCTGCAACCTGGGCATATGCCTTGACTGGGAATCGAACCGTGACTTCCTGGTTCATAGGTTGACACTCAACTATTGGGCTATGCCAGCTAGGCTTTTCTCTTTATTTTTTTAAAAAATGTATTTAAGTCATGCATGTTATCTACAATAACATAGAGACTTAAAACATCCACTCTTTGTATAGACAGTGCTGTTTTATTTTTGCCATCATTTCCTATACTTTGTCACCAACAGTGATAACATTTTAAAAAATTAGGAATCCCATGATGTTCTGTGGGGATAAGTGGTTATGAGGAGAGAAGGGTAAAGAGATGGGATCTCCTGGTTATTCTTAGAGGCAGCAACTCTTATCCTTTACCCCAAAACACATAAATAATGAACATCATTGGACACAGTGAATTGTTAGGTCCCTTCAAATACTAAAATAGTCTAGAAAGCAAAATATATTTACGTATGTTGTGCCAGTAAGACTATACCTTTAATACAATATAGATATTTAAACTGGAACAATACCACTTACCTAGTACTAATAATTGATAAAGACTTAAGTGCATTTGTTAGCCAGGAGTCTGTCAAACCTTCAATCTCTGCCCTTAGCTGCAGCCATGCGTCTCTCTTGGCAGGGCCAAGCAGTCCTGCAACACCAAAAGCAAGGCAGGGTCAAGAGATGAACGTTATCCAGGAATACCTAGTTTGGTCTTCTGTCTAAGTTAGATAATTTTTATTCCAGACTATATTAGAAATTGAGAGAGAGACTGATTTATAGTATAGTATAGCATTATTCTTCATTTCAGAATTGATTATCCATTCATTCATTCCATAAGTATTTATTGAACAACTTCTAGGTATCAGGTTCTGGGCTGAAAACTGGGATGTAATAGTGAAACAGTGGGCAATGGGTCCCAGTTTCTTCCCTCCCTGAACCTAGAACCTGGCACAGTGGATGCTAATCACCTGGGGAGCTTTGACCACTCCCATGCTTGGGTCCCACTCCATGGCTCTGATGCAAGAGGTTTGGAGGAGAGGTCAGGGTCTACCAGCCTCATGTAAGGGTTACCATACCTCAAATGCTTTGGCTGTCTGAAAATGTGTAGCTTCTTAATAACCGTAGTCATTACCACTCTGAAACAGTAACAATGGCATTACCACATGTAGCTAATAGAATGTTTCTAATATTTGTACTAAAGCTGTCAGAAATATTTTGTTTTATGACAAGTTAAAAATTGTGTTGAAAATCCTGAATCTATGACACAGTTATAGACAATGGTTGAAACTATGTTGATGTTATGATAAGAAAAAAAGCATGCTAATTTTTTTTTTTGCTTAAGTCCTTCCTTTTACGGCAAAACAAGATCATGTAAATCTATTATAAAGACAAATTTCTTATTTTAATTATATTTCAGAATACTGGGAAGACATATATAGTCCTTATCCCAATAGAGAGATGCTAACATATCACAGCAATGGGGGGATAAGGACACATATGTAATACCTTAATCAATAAATAAAGAAAAAAATTAATATGTTGTGTCATGGCTTTATGATGGAACAATATGAAGCCACTAACTATGATATTTATAAGAAGTTGTGATGGTGGCAAAGTGTTTACAACCATGAAAAATAAAGGCAAGATTTCAAATTGTAAAGAAAAAATAAAGAAATGGACTTTAATGCCATTGTTTAAACTTTTTAAGATATATGTTTATTTATTAGTAATCTTGTTAACTTTGAAATAATTTCACTAATACTCTTCAAGTAGGAAATAGTAACACACATGGGTGATAAAAATTCAGATTTTCCAAAAGGATATTTATTTTAAAGTTAAACGTATCACCCACAATTGATTTTAAATAAAATATCTATTTACTTGATTTTGCAAAGTGTCTTATATAGAGCATTAGAATGAATTAGGAAACCTGAGTTGCCTTCCTTAAATCCTGGGCAAGTTAGTAGCCTGCAAGGGCCCATTGCTCATTTGGAAATGAAGGTCATCCATATGGAAGCCTCCTTTTGGTTCTAACATTATTGTTTAGAGTCTGTATTTTTTCTTCTTTTATAGTTACTGAGCATCTATTGAGCATCTGTTATGTATCTTAAGGCTAGCAAGACATTGGGAATATAGATGAATGGATGTGCACTTCTACCTTTATGATGAGTATAGGTGTGTTTAATATGGATAAACATTTTATTTACTATATTGTATTCAATGACATGTATGTACAAGTATATTTGGTTGTATCATCCCATTTTAATTCTCATTTATTCATCATTCTTTTTTTTTCATTTTAAAAAAAGGTAAACAAAGCCCTGAGAGAAACCTTTTATGGCTAATCTTAGGATCTTGACCAGAAATTGATCCTAATAGTAGAGATCATCAAGGTTTACGATATCAAGAAGCACATTCAAGATCTTAGTTTTAAAGTCACAGGTTTTAAAATATATTTTAAAAATTGATCTCAGAGAGGAAGGGAGAGGGAGAAGAGATAGAAACATCAATGATGGGAAATAAAAATCATTGATTGGCTGCTTCCTGCACGCCCTCTACTGGGAACAGAGCCCACAACCCGGACATGTTCCCTGACAGGGAATTGAACCGTGAACTCCTAGTTCATAGGTCAATGCTCAACCAGGGAACCACACCAGCCAGGCTGATGTCACAGGTCTTGATATCATCTGTAATATGTGGATGAATATAAAATGATTGAGATATTACCTTCAAAGTATTTGAACTTTTAAAAACTATGATAATCATAGTTCACACTATACATGGGAAAGACATAGTCAGATAACATACAATTTTAAAAGGATAAAATAGACTTTTTAAAGTTTTCAAAATGAAAAAAAGCACTTGGTTATATTTATTTCTGGTAAAATTCCAGCAAGGTAATGATTGCTAACAACTCTATTTCCATGACTGGTGCTCTCGACTTTAAACAGGTCTTTTCTCTGCTTCCATCAGTCTCTCAGCCTGGTTTTCACTGGTAGCATCCTCGCTGAAGAAGGTAAACTGAATGTCCTGCTGTCATTCTTGACTAAGCACCTGGGAATAATGAATTCCCAATGCCCTTGACAGAGCTGCACGTTTTATTTTGCTGTCAGATCTCCAACCTCCCCTACCCACTCTAAGACACTTAATATTTTGGCTCCATGTAGGTCAGCATGAGCTCATGATAACTTCTTTCATAGTAGGCCAATCTCTAATATGGAACATGGAATTGTAATTGAAATTCTACCTCTATATAGAGTGCCTTTATAGAATTAAAAAGCCACACATACCTCCGACATTGTTCTTGTAGGTGTTGTATAATTCTTTTACTCTTCTGTAACGAAAAGCCAACTTCCTCATCCAGTCAACCCCTCCTCTTACACCTGTTGGCAAACAAAGGTTTGCACTACTTGCAGCTGCATGGAAGCCATCAGTTGCAAAACTGTAGGTACTGCAACACCCAAAATATATTAAAAAGAGATAAAAGAAATAATTACATGTGCAAAACTCCATAGCTGAATTTCTGTAGGAAATAGCATGCTAAAAGGCATGACTTACCTTAGGTCCTGCCCATTATCATCAGAGGAGACATCATCTATATGAACTTGATCACACTCCTGTTAAAAACATTGGAAAAGTTATTTGTTTTTCCAATGATGCTTTTCACCAAATGTTTTTTCCATCTTCCCATTTTGATCAGGCCATGGCCAGAAGATGGCAGCATTTGCCCATTCTCTCCTGCTGAGAAATGGCACCATTTCTACTCTCTAAAATCTAAATCCATAAGAATGCCTTAAAAAGGGATCTGAGAACATATGACATGTGAGCAATTTGAAAAATAATATTAGTGCTAATATTATTGATAAGAAACTGTCTTTTGAGTCTTCATAATAATTACTGGTGTTTCCTTTCAGCCATTTCTCCCATTTCAGTACTTAAGTACTGATGATAAGCTAAACCTGAAGATACACAGAATTGTTTGGTCTGAGCATCTCGGGTGGTTACTATTATTTATTATTTGTTGAGCGGATGGGGAGCTTGGTGATGAAGGTGCTCTGTGAGATTTCTATGACTTTCTACGTTGTGCTGGGCCAGGAATGCCATGAAAGAATTCACGCTGGTGTTATTGTAAAAGGCCTGGCCTTTTAACACAGGAAAAAAGTGAATAAGCATGGAAGGTGACATTTTCTTTTTTTCTTTTGCTCAAGTTTTAAAATCTTTAAGTAACAACAACAACAAAAAATACTTAAAAAGTAAAAGGGAAATAATGAAGAATTACCACATCCAATGTGCTATACACTCAGAGGAAAATAAAGTGTAGGTACATACACCCAACTATTGGCCTGATTTAAATTGCAGTGTGCTCAGAACAAATGATAACTTTTCTGGATAAGAATTCAGTTCTTCTTTACTATTCTTTACTACTCTATCTTAAAATAATCTGCAAAGTTCCAGTGAAATAGTATCAAACCAAAGGATGACATTTGGCTAGGATACTAATCTCAGAATAAATATGCTTTAGCCTCTTCAGCTTCTTTTCCCGTCAAATTACTTGTCATACTCACAGATTCTGTCTGTATACATAATGCTTACCATTCAAAACTATTAAAAATTATAATCTTTGAAAATAGGATGCCATGGTAAAAAGAAAAAGCTTCCCAGCTATTATTTTTATTTCTTTTTAAAAATATATATATTTTATTGATTTTTTTGCAGAGAGGAGGAGAGAAGGATAGAGAGCTAGAAACATCGATGAGAGAGAAACATCAACCAGCTGCCTCTTGCACATCTCCTACTGGGGATGTGCCCACAACCAATGTACATGCCCTTGACCGAAATCGAACCTGGGACCTTTCAGTCCGCAGACCAACGCTCTACCACTGAGCCAAACCGGTTTCGGCTATTTTTATTTCTTATAGGACCTGAAAATACCTGATAGTGAAATTTTGCTATTTCATCTCTAGCTTTCCAAATTGGCTTTAAAAAATATATAAAACCTTAATGACTAGCCCAATCAATACAATTTTATTTACATAAGTTGAAAATACATGTAAATTAATTTTAAAGGTTCATAAGATTTACATAAATTATGGGTTTAGTAAATTTTGAATAAATCTTTACCAATAGTCACAGATAAGAGAAGTCTCAGTAAAGCTAATCATACTGGAAACTCCAAGAGGGGATGTTTGGGTCACTTAGATATACCCCCACTAAAGGCACATCTGTTACAGAGTAATCACTCAATGATTTCTTGTTGAATAAATGGCAGAAGTCTAGACATATTATCATTATTGACAGAAGAACCAGTTATTTAATTTTTTAAAAATTATAACTTTATGATTTCAGAGAAGGGAGAGATATAGAAACATCAATGATGAAAGAGAATCATTGATCCACTGCCTCCTACACATCTCCAACTGGTGTTCAAGCCTGCCACCTGGGCATGTGCCCTGACCTAGAATTAAACCCCAACCTCCTGGTTCATAGGTCATCACTCAACCATTTAGCCACCCTGACTGGACAATTATTTAAATTTTTTAACATAAAGTTATGGTGATATGAAATAATATTCTAGATGGTAAGAACTGTAAGAAGATAGTTATATCAAGAGTAGAGGTGATGCCAAAACCGGTTTGGCTCAGTGGACAGAGCGTCGGCCAGTGGACTGAAGGGTCCCAGGTTCAATTTTGGTCATGGGCATGTACCTTGGTTGTGGGCACATCCCCAGTAGGGGGTGTGCAAGAGGCAGCTGATCGATAATTCTCTCTTGTCGATGTTTCTAACTCTCTATCCCTCTCTCTTCCTCTCTTTAAAAAATCAATAAAATATATTTTTTAAAAAGAGTAGAGGGGAACCACTGCACCTAGGAATTAAGATACCTAGGAATAAACTTAACTAAGAAGGTAAATGACCTGTACTCAGGAAACTACAGGACATTGAAAAAAAGAGATAGAGGAAGATATAAACAAATGGAAGAATATACCATGTTCATGGATTGATAGAATCAATATCATTAAAATGTCCATACTACCCAAAGCATCTACAGATTTAATGCAATCCCCATTAAAATACTTCAAAAATCTAGAACAAACGCTCCAAAAATTCATCTGGAATAAAAAAAGACACTGAATAGCCACAGCAATCCTGAGAAAAAAGAACAAAGTTGGAGGATCACAATACCAGATATCAAACTATATTACCAAGCCACCGTTCTCAAAACTGCCTGGTACTGGCACAAGAACAGACCAATGGGACAGAACAGAGAACCCAAAAATCGACCCAAGCCATATGCTCAAATAATATTTGACAAAGGAGGCAAGGGCATACATAGAGTCATGACAGTCTTTCCAATAAATGGTGTTGGAAAATTTGGTCAGATACATGCAAAAATTAGAACTAAATCACCACTTAAACTATATACAAAAACAAATTCAAAATGGCTAAAGGACTTAAATGTAAAACAGGAAACCATAAAAATCCTACAAGAATCCATAGGCAGCAAAATAGCAGACATATGTTGTAGCAATATCTCTACAGACATAGCTCCTAGAGCAATGAAGACTAAGGATAAAATAAATAAATGGGACTACATCAAAATAAAAAGCTTTTGCACAGCAAAAGAAACAATCAACAAAACAACAAGAAAGCCCACTGCATGGGAGAACATATTTGTCAATGATATCTCAGATAAAGGTTTAATCTCCAAAATTTACAGAGAACTCATACAACTTAATAAAAGGAAGATAAATAATAAACGATCCAATCAAAAAATGAGCAAAGGACCTAAATAGATACTTTGCGAAGGAGGACACAGAAAGCCAAGAGACATATGAAAAAAATGCTCAAAGTCACTAATCATCCGAGAGATGCAAATCAAAACAACAATAAGATACCATCTCACATTTGTCAGAATGACTATCATCAACAAATCAACAAATGACAAATGCTGAAGGGGATGCGGAGAAAAAGGAATCCTCTTGCACTGCTGGTGGGAATGCAGACTGGTACAACCACTGTAGAAAACAGTATGGAGTTTCCTCAAAAAGTTAAAAATGGAACTCCCATTTGTCCCAGTAATCCCACTTCTAGAACTATATCCCAAGAAACCAAAAACACCAATCAGAAAGAATATATGCACCCCTATGTTCATAGCTGCACAATTTACAATAGCTTAGACTCGGAAACAACCTAAGTACCCATCAGCATATCAGTGGATCAGAAAACTGTGGTACATCTACATAATGGAATACTACACTGTTATAAAAAGAACAAACTTTTACCATTTGCAACAGCATGGGTGGAACTGGAAAACATTATGTTAAGCGAAATAAGCCACTCTGAGAAAGATAAAATATCACATGATCTCACTCATATGTGGGATATAACGATCAATATAATTTGATGAACAAGAATAGATCCAGAGACAAATGGCAGGGGGTGGGATAGAGAGCAACCAAAGGACTTGTATGCATGCACATTAGCATAACCAATGGACACAGACACTGAGATGGTGGGGGTTAGCCTAGGGTGGGAATGGCTTGGTGGGAGGTCAAGCAGGGAAAAAGGGGACAGATGTAAAGCTTTAGACAATAAATAAAAAATAATAAAAATAAATAAAAAAGAGTGAAGGGGAGGGTGAAAGAATGACCTAAGAACTGAGGCCATGAGAGGCATGGCAGGACAGGCACTTAGAATGGTTCTTCCTCATTTTGACTGAGTATTCTTTGCAAGGAGCACAGCCCAAATTTTAGGCAAAAGGGGTATTTTGCTTCCAGAAAAATCTCAGGGAAAAGTACTGCGAGCAACAGTAGTAGCTCCTTGAATTCTAAAAGAAAGAGTGGAAAGATTTAACAAATTAGCATGAAAGTTAGAAGAAATAAATTTCTTCCCCCAGAATATGGAGGCAGCAAAGTAATTCTAGTTGACAAGGATTACTTCTTATTTAAAGATGGTGACATTCTCAGTAAGTATGAAGACTGAATTAAAACACCATTGAAATGGCATCGCGTGAAGTTGCTCATTTCCACCTAAGTTCTAAACTCTTTCATCAGATAAATAATTTCCACGTTTCTCTTTTACAATAAACTAATAATATCCAAAAGAAGTTTGAATGACATTTTTAAATTACCCTGGCAATTAGATGTTATTTCTATATTTAATATCCTCTTATCCTAATTTTTAGAGAAATTCCTCTGACATTTAAAGTATTAACTCACATGATTAATTTATACATTTTGCCCCAAATCTCATTTTTTTTTTTAACTCCTGAGGACATCGGTATATCAAACTTATTGGACCATGAGCTCCATATTTGAAGTTATGTTTGAGATTTTTCCAAATGCAACTTCTCTTTAAATTTATGCCTAGTTAGCTATGCTTGTTGACTTTGGACTCTTGCCTGAGAATTACACTGCAGTGAAAGCAACCTGAATTTCAATCAAGTACATTTTTAGAAAAATCAAAATAATTGTTCTTCAATTAGTTTCCACTCAGGAGAACTTTTCAGGAATCATCTTGGCCAAAACATGAGATACTAAAAACAATAAAATTCTTTGGTTTTAACAAATTTTGGTATAAGAACTCAAACATTTGGGGTAATTCTGGAACTAATCTTGAATTCTTTAATTTTGTTTTATAAGATGACCGCAAAGTTGTCGCTGATCTTTATCAGTTGTGATCCACAGCAGTCTCCTCTCACTTTTGTGAGCCAGAACTCCCTGGTGCCTTTTTTTCTGGAAGTTATTCTAACTGAAATAACACTGTGTTTAAACAGTACATTCTCTTCTTCGGGGGAGTAGTGTGAACATTTGCCTTCTCTGCAGTTGGGCAGGATGTCCTGAAGTGTCTATGAGAGGGATTTAAATGTGTGTCTTCTAAAGAATTATGTGAAAGCAGCTGCTACTTACTACATGTGGTACAGTATCCACAGAAGGATTTCAGTCCCAAATTAGATTTTTAGGTTAAGAAAAGAAACCTTGAGCTATTAAATACACAAGGGTGGAGGGAGGGACTGTAACAGGCTAATGATAGAGTTACTCTCTTGAGGAATTCTCCTATTTGTCAGAAACAAAAATAGCTTAATATCAGTGATGAAGCCCCTAACAATCTTTGCTTAGAAGAGGCTTACAGAAATAAAAAATTGAGTGAAAAGTAAAGTTGACTTTAAAAATCAGATGCGGAAGAATAATGGAATTCCACTGAACAATCTTGAAACCCATTGTTTAGATTTTGTTAGATTTAGTATTTATCTTACTTAAGTCAGGAAAAGTTTTTGAGTTCCCTTGGGCACTTTGTCTGAATGTGCATATGTACATGGGGCATGTGTGTGTGTGTGTGTGTGTGTGTGTGTGTGTGTGTGTGTATGTGTGTGTGTGCGCGCGCGCGCGCGCATAAGCGCGCATGTATGAATATTCAATCAATTCATATGGAAGAGAACCAAACACTTTTTTAAAAATTAAGTACAGAATTGTTGGATACTAAGTTTTAGTGTTTGAGTCAAATACAATTTTTATCATATTCTTAACGCAATTAAAAAGCTGTAATCAAAGAAAGTCAATACCAATGTTTTCTCAGTTAATTTTTCTACCAGAGATCTTGCAGGCATTTAACAGTATTTTATATAATATCTATTCCAGAATAAAAATGCTTAAAAAGCATCATAGCTGAGCACATGCTTATGACACGCAAATATTCATGTAAAAAGTATTTGAAAATTCATTATATGCTACTTTCACTTTCTTTTGTGTTCTGTTAAAAGTGGATGGCAAATTTATTCCATCTGTCTTCTAATGTGCTAGTAAAATAGCTAATGGGTCATTTAGTCCATTTATTTCTAGTAAAAATAATTAATAAAATAAAATAAATACTATGAAATTTGGATAAAACTACATAAAACTTCTTTTTTTTTGTTTTTTTACAGGTTTGGAAGGACTAATAATCTTAGAATTCTCTTTATAATGAGGCCAATTTATTTCAACCAACAGAAAACCATCCTAAGAAGTTATGAGTTTATATAAAAATTCAAGTTCCAAATAGGTCAAAATGTGTTTCCTATTATCATGTATATATAAAATCATTCTGTATACTAGACAGGGATCAGTAGTAAGATTACTTTAAATCAAGTTTTAGAGAGGTGATTATTATTTCTTATAATAAAACTGAAACACATGCCTAGAAATACTAATCATTCCTATTGTCCATTAATAATAATAAAAAAATTGCTTTAAACAGACAATAATTTTATTATCCAGTAAAAACAGTGACTCCCTGAAGAGAATACAACAAAATGCTATTACACAGGTTTCCAGTTCATATGTTTATGGGGTATTCTGAACAACACAATTTTTGCTCTTATGAGTCTAAACTATGAGTAAAACTGGATTTTAAGACCTTGCAATTAAAAAAAAATCTCATTGAAGACACTGATTATCTTGGCTTTTCTTTCTCACACACTTATTCCCCTCCCCCCTTTATTGATGAAAGTATTACATATGTGTCCTTATCCCCCCACAAACCTCCACTCCTCCCCCATTCAGGTCCTCACTGCCTTGGTGTCTGTGTCCATTAGTTATGCTTATATGCATGCATACAAGTCCTTTGGTTGATCTCTCCCCCTTATCTCCACCCTCCACTACCTTCCCTCTGAGGTTTGAGCATCTGATCAGTGCTTCTCTGTCTCTGGATCTGTTTTTGTTCATCAGTATATGTTGTTCATTATAATCCACAAATGAGTGAGATCATGTGATATTTATCTTTCTCTGACTAGCTTATTTTGCTGAGCATAATGCTCTCCAGTGCCATCTAAGCTGTTGCAAATAGTATGAGTTCCTTCCTTTTTATAGCAGCGTAGTTCATCAGGGTATGGGGGCAGAAGTATATGCTCTGGAGCCAGACTCCAGAGTTTCATATCCCAGTTCTGCCACTTAGCTAGCAGTTACCGTAGACATAATTTTTATGCTCGTAACCCTACAATTCTACCTCTACAAAAATAATGTGGTAAACATTAATTTCTAGAGGTTGTTAATTATTCAATGGAAAGCTCAATAAAAAAATGTTGAACACAAAGTGGGGAGGATTCAGCAATTAAAAATCTCCCTTTTCATTCATAATATAGACAAACATTTTTACTCTACTGTGAAACCATGAGATAAAAAACTAAATTTAAATATGACATTTAAAAAAAGAAAGAGAAATCTCTTCCAGCATTGTGGTGCTTGACTGGGAAGTATTCCTGGTCTAGTGCCCAAGCTACTCAATTATTTTAAATTTTATTGTCTGAATGCCTAATGACTCAGATCATTAACACCCAGATTATATACCTATTATAGGACCTATTCAGCTATTCTGAGGCTATTTTATTTTTCTTGGGTTCTTTCATTTTGTTGTTGTTTCACTTTCTCTTCATTTGAGGTTGGAAATGGAAAGATAAATTAAAATACTAGAGAAAATAAGTGTAATCAAACCAGTCAGATGTGCAATGTAAACAGCTCTAGCAGTGTTTCATCTGAAAGGGGAGGAAATGAGGAATGATAATGTTGTCTAAAAATAGGTGTCAGGTTATCTACAAAATGTAATGACCCACGTTTAGCACCATGAATAGCATCTGAGACTACTGTCCAGTGATTAATCAAAAGAGTATCCTGGTTCATATCCTGAAAAAGCTAATGCTAATTCCAAAAGTGCACATGGATTGTATTTGAGAAACTATTAGGATGAGGAGCAGTATAGTGTATAGGGGCACATGCAGATCTTCGGAGATATTTTTGTCCTAATTATATGCCAGTATATAGGTATAATTCATTACCTAAATTTAGCTTTTGTTTGCATTTATATATACAATTTTCCCCTTGGCAGGAACTTTACTATTCTCTTATGCTAAATTTCTATCTTTAAGTTTTCTTGAAGTTATCTGGTGTTATAGAAACCATTTAAACATTTTAATATACAACTATTTCATATACAGCTATTTGGTATACAACTATTCTGACCTTTTAAAATTCTTACCTCTAAATCATTAAAAAATAAATGTGTATCAGCAAGGTTAAAAATCATTTCCTCCATTCGGAGTCCAAGGGTTACAGCCATGGGAGGATCCTGAGAAGGAAGTACACACAGTGAGGTAAAATTTCAGCAACTACAGTTATTATTAAACATACTTTAAGTGCAAATTGTTGTGGAGATGGGGTGACCATAGATTTTTACTTCCGATTCAAAATATTTCCCAACTACCTGAAAAGGTACCTTTCCAAAAGATTCATTTAAGACATAATAAGTATACAAATGCATCTGTGAAGTTATAGGAATTTATATGCACATAAACAATGACCTAGGGAATGTTTTGACATAAATCTGTATGTTCATGATAGGATCCAGTCTACATATACCCCAGAGACAGTCTTTTGGAGAAATGTATTTGGATGGAATACTGAACAATGCTATGGACTTGTTAAAAATATGAAAGGATTTCCTTTAAAGAATGATACATAAGAATTAGGATTGGGAGAAAAGTAGGTCTACTGGATGTTTGCAGCACTTGAGCAGACAATATCCCCTGAAGGTAGGATAGGAAGAGTTGGTGAGGCATGGTGAAATCACCACTTAATTATGAACTTCATTTTGATCAACCGGCAATATTTATCTGCATAAGTGTATAGTTTGGTCTAATCTGCATTTGACTAGGAATAAAGAGAAAAGGGTTGAGGATAACAAAAGGAATTATTAATTGAGTAGATGTAATCTATGTAGGAAATATATACACTTAGAAGTTTAATGAAAGTAAGGGGATTATAAAGAGTTAAGTGATTTAGTTTTTGTTTATAGAAATCAAGATGTTACACAGCAGCAAAGGGTTGAGAATCAAGACCAGAGTTTGTACTTTACCATGACCAACTACATGATGAAAGCCTGGCATCAAGAGGTGAAAGACTAAAAAGTAAGAAGGGTTTAGGGATTGGGCTAGGGGAGTAATTCATGTTCAGATATGGTGCTTAAATGATCAAAGTTGGAAAGATCTCTAAAGAGAACTACTATAGTGACAACCCTGAAAATATAGAAAATTGAAAATCTAGATGGAATAAACCCTCAGAATTTGAGACCAGAATGAGCCTAATGTTAGTAGGGAGACTCTGGGTTTGAATAAAGCTGACAAGTCTAGAAGAATACTATTCGTTTGGCTGAGAAATCTTTTTGGAAGACCTCAGAGAGTGATTTGGGTTGAGTGGCTGGGCCAGGAGCCAGACTGTAAGAATTTAAGGAGAGAGTACCAAACTTGTGTTTTCAATGGTCTAATAAATGACATTTTAAGAAATGTATCTTAACTTAGGAAAATGTAATGCTACCTTGATATTAATTTATGGTAAAATACGCCATCCAGGTCAGGCCCAGAGTATTCATAGACAACCGTGAATTTACCTCACTTAGCAAGTAAAAGCCCCTCCTCATTCTACACCTATGCTGCAATAACCAATTTTTTCCCTTTCTTCCTTCCATAATGCTTTTAGAGGGACACACTAGAGGATAAATATATTTGAAGTGAGTGCCACCTCATATTCTGTAGTGATTAATAGCTAGAGAATTGGAATTGAATGCTAAGCTAAGAAAGAAAAAGGTCACTGAGGTGTGTTGAATAAAGCCAAGACTTGATATCAGAGAAGAGAAAGAAAGGACAATAAGAATATGTTAAATGTCAGTATAATTTTCTAATTGTCTACAGTTCTTCCTCAGAGACTTCTGTGGAATTCATAGCTCAAGATTCTCTCTTCTTGAAAAGAGATATGCATTGTTCACATCCCTGATGGTATCCTGGTCTTGTGTCCTTCAAAAGGAGGACTCTATTTTGATGCTACTGCCAAGTTCATCTGTCTTCCAGTGTCAGGATCATTTGGAGAAACATATCCAGAGATCAAATAAATTCCATTTTATACAATGAAGAGTCATTGAAGAACAAGAACAAAAATATGAAGCTTTTTAATTTATTTTATTTTTTGTTTCAAAGTCTTTCAGAATTCAGAGGGATCTCTCTTGCTCTGCTTCCTTCAAGTATAGAAGTCTTATTTTTTTTTTCTGATTTCTTTATGTTGTTCATGTTTTTGTTGTTGTCTTTCAAAGAAAACATCTAAAGGTTGAATAAAAGTTTTAAAAATATACATTTATCTTTTTTGGGGTAAAAAAATTCCTCTTTGTCTTTGGGATGGGGTTTGTATAGGCTGAATACATAAAAAACTTGTAAATATTCTGTATTGTCATGGGACCATGAACAATATGTCTACAAAAATATCAGGAAAAATCAAATGTAATTACAGCATGAAAACATATAATTCCATTAGTGACGCTCTGTGCTTTTCAGGAATGTTCACTGATGCAGGACAATAAAACTGAGCTCCATACTCCTCCGTATGTTTCTGATGATTACTGCCCTAAAGATATATATTTCACATGGGCATTCAGAATGTCTTCTTTAAAAGGTTTTCCTTCTCAATTGGGTTGGTTAAATTCTTATCCTACAATTTGCCAGTTTTTCTTCTTTAAGTTTTAAATAAAACTATTGACTTTCTTACGTTCTGACCTCACATTCTTTGCATTGACAAATCAGATTTATGGGGATGGAAGAAAATATACTGTTCCTCCTTGATTGTTACTTTCATTAATTCCACTCTTCTGAAATACATAACTCTCTATGCTACCCCAGCAGTGATAGGGAAGTCCACAAAAAAAGCACTTTGTGCATCTGATAAGCATGCAAACAAATATAGCTTTTAGAAAATTGACAATAATTCTCTAACAAGTAAGTACAGCTCATGATGTGATGAAAACGGTGCTTTCATGGCAATGGAAGGGATTGCTCATTTGTTTATCATGCTATGGCAATTCCACATCACACACTCTGGGAGAGCTGGGACTTAGTAAGCACTTGGGCAAAAAATCATTTGTGAACCAGGAAAGTTTAGGTTTGAGGTTTGCTGTCGTGTAAACTAACTGTATTTTACCAAGGTTTCCAAAGAGCAAGGCTTATTCTAAAGGGAGGGGTTTCATCTGCCATGCTAAGGGCTTGGCACAGACAGGCTAAGGATAGTTATGCCACAAGCCTAGGAAAACCATGCCTGTAAGAGGTGATAATCTAGTTTCTAAGAGAATATCCAGTGAGGGTTGACTTTCAAATATCTAATTTTACTTTCTTTTCCCCCATCTTACTAAATCCTTGGGAGAGTTGATTCTAAGTAAGTAGATTACAGTGTCACATTTTTCTAGCTAAAGGACCCACAGATGTAAGAATCTAAGAAAGATGAGTAGGGATTTGGTGGGGGTTGCCTTAGAAAGGTCTCTGAAGTGTTGGGCTCCCTGGGCCTCGCCAGACTACTGTGAAAGAGCTGCCGGCGCCTGCAATTCCATGGTTTTATCAGGCATTTGAGAGTTAGATATACTTCTGGATCGAACCCAAGTTTTACACAGAGATGTTTGCTCATTTTCATTAGATGTTTGTAGAAATATGGGCACCTTATGAATCAAGAATTACTGCCCTTTTTTTTTTTTTCAGTTTACCTGTAGGGAGTGTTGAGTTTAGGGTCTGAAATCAAGTGAAAACTTGGACAGAGGAAAAAAGTGGGATAATAAAGGCACCAACAGGAAGTTCTGATGCATATTTTACATATATAACAGTTCCAATAGGTTCAAAGTGTCTACAGTGGAGTTTAATATGGGGTGAACTGAACTTCTGCCAACTTATTCTGTGCTCTGCCCTATTAAAATAGTGAAACTACTCCCTGGAGAGAGAGAGAGAGAGAGAGAGAGAGAGAGAGAGAGAGAGAGAGAGAGAGAGAGAGAGAAGTAAGGGGGGGAGACAATGACAGACAGAATAGGAGAGAGAGACAGAAAATAATGAATAACTTTTGGCCCTAAAATGTGTGATTCTAAACTGGATGTCACACATAAGGGCCATCATATGACTAAGTCAGGTTCAAGTACAGCAGATCTCTATATCTAAATACTGTGTTAACACAGAGCAAAATTTGGAGCCAGACTGTCTGTCTATGGGCCTCTGCCCTGTACTGGGTCATCAGCTGGAATACTTCTCTAGGGACACAATATAAAAATATCTTAGGAGAAAAAGCAATTATGTGTTGTTGTTATTGTTTTATTAGGGGACTTTTCTTTTTAAAGAACTAAAGTCCTTGGAACTCACTTGGGACCTGAAGCACATATAGACTAGTGACAAAGGCAGAGATGTGCTAGATAGAAGAAGGAAGACAAGCTTGTTCACAGACTAAAGTGGAAATAGTGAGAAGGTCTGTTAGGAAATAAACTCAATCAGTGACAAGAGATGAAGTTCATTCATGAATCAGAAGGAAAATTTAACCATTGTGATGTTTGTCTATGATGGATAGGCAGTAGGCTAGAGTTCTCATGGGGAATTGGAGAATGGTTTCAGGAACATTCATTTATTTAGCACATATTTACTGAATGTCTACTCTGTGTTAAGGATATTCAAATTCTGGGTTGAGAACACAGAATCAAATAGACAGAGTCCCTGACCTTAAGGGTTTTATATTGTCACTGAATCATCTACCAGATATATAAACAAAGAAAAAAAACCCCAAAGAAATATATAGTATTTCAACTGGTGAAAAAACAAACAAACGAACAGAGTTTGCAGATACAGAAGGCTATAGGGATAGATGGTGATGGCTCATTCAAAGAAAGCACAGGGAAGGCCTTCTTAGGAGATGGCAGCTGGAGAGAAGAGACCTAGAGAAGGAGAGGGAACTAGCCATGCACAGACTCCAGTGGTGGCAGGGAACATATGCAGAGATGAGACTGGGTCTAGTGCCTGTGGAACAGTGTAAGGCAGAGATCCAGGTCAGGGAAGTAAAGCAAAGCAACTATGCAAAAGGAGAGAGAGTGCTCAGCTGGGCCAAATGCTGAGAGCCCCAGGAAGATAAACCAGGAGGTTGGCAAGAGAAGGTCATTCCTCGGACTTGAAGAGAGTCATATGACTGGAAGGGTAGGGAAGAGCAGAGAGAAGGGGCAGCAACTGGAAAATGGGCTCAGGAGGATTTTCTGGTGATGGGACTATTACAGCATGGACAGTGGTGGTAAGAATAATTGAAAGGTGTGGGAAACTGGGGACTCAGGAGTGAAACAGATCATTTAAGGAGAAGATTCCATGAGTAAGTGAGAGGGTCTGGATCCAGGATATGAGTAAAGGTGTAAAGAAAAGGCAGAGCATGTGGTATGGTGCAAAGATGAAGTAATTATTTCAGTTGCTTTTTGTAGTGATGGAGGAGGAGTTTTGTGGGAAATTGAGAGAAGAGCTGAAGGTGTGAGGGGAGAGGTTTGAAATAGTCAGTTGGAAGAGTTTATTCACCTGGGAGTTCTGAGACCCACTTGAGATATGTGGTCACATTCAGATGTCAGGGAGCAGGCAGAAAGGACAACCGTGAAACACACTCTAGATGCTTTCAAACTCTGCATTCATCATTTCATATGTACCACACTCACTCTCTCACCCTCTGCTCTAAACATTGAGCTCAGTGAGTATCTTACATTATGAGATAAAACAACAGTTTTCAATCCATGAAAACATCCTCAGAAAACATCCAGTTTTCCCCAAGATTCAGATTTCCTTGAAACCAAATCAAATAGATTACACTTTTGAGGTTTATTATGCAGTAGGCCATGTTTTGAGTTTTAATGCATTAACTCATTTAACCCTGCTAATCAAATTGGTCCTTTTATTCTTCTTCTCACTTTAGAAAAAAGATGACTAAGTCTCACAATCACTAAAGAAACTACCCAAAGGCACAAGTGTAGAAAGAGGAGGCACTAAATTTTGAACTCAGGTCCATTCTTCCTCTAAGCCAGAAGTCTCTAACCTTCATGCCTAGAGAGATGGTAACCTGCATGGGGTTTACCATTAGGGAGGCCTCCAATCCATGGCTCCCAACACTTGATTAATTCCAATCACTCCCCATTAAATCATGTTGCTTGCCTTCACTGGCGCTTTCAGAATTCTTTCTATAAAACTCTGTACAGACTGTTTAATATAAAAGTAACCAATTGATTTATTCTAAGGAACATATTATTTCCCCAGTGCTGCTTTTATATAGGATGTTCTCTAAAATGAGCAAGTAGTGTTGGGAGCTTGAATTTTAATTTGGCACTAGAAGGCAGGGGTAGGAAATGGCCAGTCCAAGGGCCATATAAGGCCCATGAAATCATTTGATCTGGCCCTGCCAAGGCATTAAGATGAGCTGATTAAATGTTTGCCCAAATATGACAGGGTAATTTTTACGCTAATAATTCTGTATGGCTTGTGAATAATGTTACAACTATCCAAATGATCCTTGGTAGAATAAAGGTTCCCCACCCCTCCTATAAGGTAATGATTCACTTCTCTTTCAGTCTTTTCACTGACTTACGCTGCTTCCTTTGCATCCTTACTGTGAAATAACATTAGAGAATCGTGGCTGCATAACACATGACGTATTAATGCTACAAAATAAGTCAAATCCTTAGAGCACAATCTATTTAGCTTCATTGTTTTTGTGCATCTGGGCTTTCACACCTTTGAAATATCCCTTTGCAGATCCCTTCTTCTAAAGCAGACCACCCTCAGGAAAGCACATAATCTTAACTATTCTATAGTCCAATCCCTGCCTTGCTTTCTCCTATCTTTTTTGTAAAATTCCTAAAATTTCATCCTTAATCTCAAATGCATAAAAGTAACTGCACACTGTTATTCTCTGGAGCATTTGAGATATTGCTTCTGGCAACTATCATCAGTTTGGCTCAAATAAAGTCCTATAAAATATCTCCTGACTTCAAACCTTCATTCTTCCATGGTAATTTTGATCTTTAGAAATTAGATCATTTGAACCCAAGGCAATGAATAAGGAGCATTGTCAAAATATCATTGTTTTTCTTTTTGTCAAAAACACCATAAAGCTGCTTCCATCGCAGAACTGAGCATGGACTTCCATTTGGAATAAGAAGGAGTGCCAATAAAGAGGCGAGGAGGGTGAATCATAAAAAAGAAATGAAGCTGCTTTTCTTGAGTGACTCATAAACGGACTCTAAGAATAATTCCAAAAGCAAAGTTCTCACGGTTATAAGAAGCTAGCCCACTATGACAATGACAGCGCCCAGTGGGTGTGGCTCAGTGGTTGAGCAACAAAAGACTACTTCCTTATTCCAAATAGCATTCTATAGCAACAGTTGGGGCAACAAATCAAGCAATTTCTTAAGGTTCCCTTATTAAGGACTAGAGGCCCGGTGCACAAATTCGTGCACTGGTGGAGTCCCTCTGTCTGGCTAGTGATCGAGGCTAATTGGGGCCATCTTGCCCAGTCCCTATCAGGGAAATCAGGGCTGGCCAGCCAAAGGGGAAGGAAGGGGAGAGGAATGGTGGGAGATTGGCCCACCACAGGAGGTTGGCTGTGGGAGCACACTGACCATCAGGGGGCACCTCCTGCATTGAATACCATATGCATTGAGCGTCATCCCTGGTGGTCAGTGAGCATCATAGTGACAGGTTGACCAGTTGTTTGGTAGCTTATATATCTATATCTATATCTATATCTATATCTATATCTATATCTATAGATATACATAGATATATACCTAAATATATGTAATTTTTATGCTTAAAGTCCATTTCGATTTACAAAAATTTTATAAAATAATTCTATCAAAGTAATAAGCTTTATTTTGATGTAGAAAACTCAATCATGAAGAAGAAAAAATAATGCAATTTCTTATTAATTCTGAAAATTTGCCAATTCACATAAAAAATAATGGGCTAGTAGAAAAAAAATAATTAAGAGCAGATTTGATAGACTGCAATAAAACCACATAAATGTATTTTTTCTAATTATGCTTTTAATTCTCACCTCAAAATATGTTTTTATAGATTTTTTAGAGAGGAAGAGAGGGAGAGAGGGAGGGAGACAGAGAGAGAGAGAGAGAGAAAGAGAGAGAAAGAGAGAGACAGAGAGAGAGACATATATGTGAAATAGAAACATTGGTTGCCTTCATTTTTGCTCCAATTGGGGATCAAACCTGAAACCTAGGTATGTGCCCAGATCAGGTATTGAACTAGCAACCTTTCATACATAGAAAATGCTCTATCAATAGAGCCACCCAGATGGCTAAATATATTTTTAAATGGCTCTTGATTTTTGAACAAAATAAAATTCTAGCAAGGTTTCTTGGGATAAAACATCTTGATTACTTACCTTGCCATACTTCTGGGCATAAGAACCTGTGAGCAGTGAATGAAAAACAATGATGGTTTCATCCAAGTCCCAGACAAACACACGCTAAAGAAAAAGATAAATATCAAAGAATTATTAAATTATAAGGAAGTAGAAATCTCTTTAGAAGTAAAAAGCACCTCGTTTTGTTATTGGATATACTCTTGGTACCATTTTAGAGAAACCTGTTACTCCATTACTTACCCACAATTTTCCAGATCTAACCCTTGTAAAACCTGAGGAGTAAGATTTATACAAACAACAAGCTTAAAAATCAAATGTCCTGATTTAAAGAAATTCACCCAAATATTTATCTGCAGTTAATACCCCAAAAGATATATTTGGACTTAATGATAAAAGTGAACTTGAAACTATCTTAAAGTTTTATGCCTCATGTATTTGTGATATTTTGCAATACATCCAAAGAATCAAAAATTTAAAAATATTTAAAAGACTCATTAATAATCCCTAAATAGATAGTACCAAGTGTGAGCTCTTGAGTCAACTTAGACCATCAGGTGAGTTGTTTGGTCTCATAGTGAAATATTTCAAATTATTGATCAACTTTTTAAGATTAGGAGATTTCAAACAAACTTCAGGATTCTCACTGTAGCAGAGAATGTTGAAGCTGTAGCAATGCTGGCTGAGGTGCCACAGGAATGGGTTGGCCCCTCTTGATCAGGCCAATGCTCTCTGTTCTCACAGTAGGCTGGCTTCTTAGCTCAATTGACCCATCGGATTGTCACCTGCTGAGTTCCTCAATGCATTTGAATTTGCTACTGTTGTTCAGGTAAAGGAAATGATCTTTTTTTTTCTTTTTTTTAAAATATTTTATTGATTTTTTACAGAGAGGAAGGGAGAAAGATAGAGAGCTAGAAACATCGATGAGAGAGAAACATAGACCAGCTGCCTCTCGCACACCCCCCACTGGGGATGTGCCGGCAACCAATGTACATGCCCTTGACTGGAATTGAACCTGGGACCTTTCAGTCCGCAGACCGATGCTCTACCACTTAGCCAAACCGATTTCGGCAAGGAAATGATCTCTTATGAAGAAGGTGTAATGATTATTACTTAACTTGACCAAATCTGGAAATTTAATGTTTTTTCTTAATTGAAGCATGCAATTGCTTAAGAAGTAACAGATTATGGTTAAGAATAGTTTCTCCTGATGTTTTATAATAAAAGTCAACCTGTTTCATATGGATATATCTCAAAAGAGATTTTAACTAGAAAAAAAAAAAGACTCATAAAAATTTCTACAGATCCAAAATTTTAACCTGTATTAGATGATTGGAATTTTTTTCCTATTTTCAGAAGACAACTTTTTATTTTCATACAGATTAATTTTACCTTTTAAAATTAATTGACCCATATAAGTATCTTTCATTACATTAGTACTACCAAATGGAGTGTTTCTCAGAAAATTACCTCGGAAACAATTATTTTTAAAATTTGTTTGTACTAATGTGGACCAAAAGATGCAATTATCTCAGACCTAGAATTTTTAACTCATTATCACTTTTAGTTTTTTGTTTTTTGTTTTTTTAAATTTGGTCATTATAATGAATGAAATCTCAAACTTTCAGCTCTGAAATGCCTACTGCAAAGTAGATCTATTCCCTTCATCATGATATATCCCATATAATAAAAGGCTAATATGCAAATCAACCAAACAGCAGAACAACTGGTCGCTATGATGCACACTGACCACCAGGGGGCAGATGATCAACATAGGAGCTGCCCCCTGGTAGTCAGTATGTTCCAACAGGGGACGCATCGCTCAGCCAGAAGCTGGGCTCACAGCTGGCAAGTGCATTGATGGTGGTGGGAGCCTCTTCTGCCTCTGTGGCACTCAGACATCCCCTGAGGGCTCCTATACTGTGAGCAGATGCAAGCTGGACTGAAGGATCCCTCCAACCCCCCTGACGAGTGCACAAATTTTGTGCAACACACACACAAACACACACACACACACACACATACACAAAGTTTGAAACTTTATGAAACTGTAAGTATAGAATATGTATTCAATAAAAATAAAACATCATATTACACTCTTTGAGGATGAGTCAGCATACCTCCAGGTCACTGTCGGGAGGTGGGGAGGGATTATTTTTCCGGCCTCTTCCTCGGGACTTTGACCCAGAACTCCTACATGTTCTCTCATCAAGATCTTTAATGGGTGTGGAGGGGCTCTGCACGGTATCGAACTCTCCTATAAATACATAAGTCACATCAAGAATAGCACTTCGTTTTTAGATTAGGCATGAGTCTTCATTATTAATCATCTTAACAAATTCTTATTTTATAGAAATCTTAGGATGAGAGAGAGAGAGGAGAAAGAGAGAGAGAGAGAGAGAGAGAGAGAGAGAGAGAGAGAGAGAGAGAGAGAGAGAGATTAATTTATACTCCCAAATACCCATAATCCTAAAGGGACAAAAATATCTGTCTGTAGGTAAGACAAATCCCTCCCAAGTTTCAGTCTCTGTGATCTATTACACCTGAACACCTTTTATATTTCATATGCTTTCAACTTCCTGCTTCTACCCCCACCTATATATTTATCTAAATTTAAATCTGTTCTCACCTCCTGACATCAGAGTTCAGAGGATGAAATGTCTTATGGATCAATTCCATGCAAACTTGACTCCCCTACCTCACCTCTTAAGGAATTTTGCTCCATTAGTAACCCTCTCTCATCTTTGGTCTAACCTTTTCCTCTCTGGGGTCATAGGCAAGTTTAAAAGTCTTTCCCTTTGACCTTGTATTTCCATCTAGAAGCTATCTGCTTGCTATCTTATTTTTTTAAAATGACACTTCTTAAAAGAATATTGCATACCAGTGCTGTCTGACAGAAATATAATGCGAACAACACATGTAACAGAAAAATAATTTAACATTTTCTGGAACCCTCATTAAAAAATGTCAAAAGAAACGTAAAATTAACTCTATTTATGTCAATTGACCTAATTTATTCAAAATATCAATTTCAACATGTCATCCATATAAAATTATCAATGGCATGCTTTACATAATCTCTTCTTTATACTAAAGTCCTGTGTGTGTTTACACTTACAGTGGACCTCAATCTGTACTGGCCACATTGCATGTGCTCAATAGCCACATGTGGCTAACAGCTACAGTACCGGACAGCACATCTCTCTCCACTTCCTGACAGGCGATTTGTCATCAATTAGCTTCAGTTCACTAAAACTGTAAAACTACTCTTTTGCAAAGTCCCCAATAACTACCTCATTGAAAAATGCAATAGAGAGACTCAGACCTTATATTCCTGGGTCTCCATGCTGGGTTTGATCCTCTTAGACAGCACCCCTCAGACCATTATTTGGCAGCTGATACCCTGATACTCTAGGTTCTCTCTCACCTGCTCTTCCTAGGAGACCTGGACTCCTTTTTCTTCTCCCATTCCTTTTGTGTTGGTATTTACAAGTTCCACGCTTAGATCACTGTCCTCATGCCACACGATCTGGGTGATCCATGTTAATCACCCTCTGTGTGATGATTGTTAAATAAATTTATATCCCCAACCAGGCTGTATCCTAAGTTTCAGACTTTGTGTCTAATTGATTTCTTCATGTCCCATAGATACCTTAAAGTCTGGCATGTCTAAAGCTAATGGTGAAGCATCTTATGAGGTAGGAAGTACTGAGCAGTGGCAAATCTGTGTGTATAAGTGGGGTTGAGGTGTGCTAAGATGAACAAGTGGGGCAATAGTGAGGTGCGGTAAAACCTCATAAGTAACCAGAGTCAGATTTATACTATGACTGCAAGCATTTTATTCAATCTCTCTGAATCTCAAGTGGTGTGTGTGTGTGTGTGTGTGTGTGTGTGTGTGTGTGTGTATGTGTGTGTGTGTGTGTGTGTGTGTGTGATATTAACGCATGAGTAATAGCAGCTACCTTTTTAAATTGAGATAGATCTGATTTACATTTAATTGGATTTAAATACTATGCACAAAGTAAAAACTTCTAGGAGAATCTGATGGCAAGCTATATTGAATTTAGGTTATGAAATTTTAAACATAAAGATGCTATGACTACCATGTTTTATAATGAAATTAAAGTAAAATAATTTTGAGGACAGCCAAGCAGTTCTTAATATAAATAATCAAATCTGAACAAATTATATAACATGTAGGTAATATTTTTTTCTGAGATGTTCTAAATAATAGTAAATTCTACATTGATAGCTTATAATCATTTATAACAGTTATAACATCTTTGGGAAATATTGTGCATGTCAGAACAGCATCAAAAATATGTCTGGCTCTGACTGGTTTGGCTCAGTGGATAGAGTGTCTGCCTGGGGACTAAAAGGTCCCAGGTTTGATTCTGGTCAAAGGCATATATCTTGATTGCGGGCACATGCCCACTAGGAGGTGTGCAGAAGGCAGCTGACCGATATTTCTCTCTCATCGATGGTTCTGACTATCCCTCTTCCTTCCTCTCTGTAAAAAAAAATCAATAAAATATATTTTAATAAATATGTCTGTGCTCCAAATATCCTTTGCTCTTAAAACATTATTAGCACAGTTCATTGTGTGGGTCTTTGCTATCTACCATGTGAGAGTAGAGAGCATAATAAAATGTTTTAGTAATGAGGTTAAATATAGCTCTATCTTACAGTAAATCATGTTTCAGCTTACTTGCATAGGTATAAATTAGGCTTTAAGTATTTAAACACACACCAACTTCCAAAATACAGCATATTGCAACATTTTTTTTCTATGTTTAGTTTTTGTTGTTGTTTTTTAACAGAATTTTCCTAAGGCTACTATGTCCTGCAAATCAAATGTTCTCTTTCAAATAAAATGTAGATTCAAATTAACTCTAATATTTAAAATAAGCTTATAATAATATTTTGGAGACGACATTCCATACAAACTGTCTTTTCAGGTGTTAACCATCACAAGGCAGCTTTGTTCTTGCAACAGTGCAAGAGCTGAAAGGACAAAAACTTGCAAAATCCCCAAGCCGCTGTGATGTTATGGGTGGTTGATGGTTGACTGGATCTATAAAGAAGGAGTTTGGCAGAAACAACTTAGCTATTCCAATAAATTGGGAGCAAGCAGCAAGGGAGTGAAAAGAGAGGGAGGGGCAGGGAAAGGAGAATTTATAAGAAATGTTTGGGTTTCAATAAAAATGGGACTTGATACCACTGATTCTTTCCAAGTTACTGAAAGATCTTAAAAGGGCTCTAAAAATTTGGACACAATATGGACAGAAGTGTTTTGGTAAGCTTTTTAAAGAACTGAAAGGAGCAGCTCCATATTTATTAAATCTTAATTATTTTTTTTCATATACTGTCTTTCCTTTTAAAATGCTTATTGAAATATGTTTGACTATTCTTTGTTTATTATCTCTGTGTGATTGATTGACATTTGTAGCTTGGGGCAGTCATCTGTTTTTTTTTTTTAATGTGGCTAGAACATCGATATGTATGTATATATGCCTTATTATTCTGTTCATATACATTTGGATTATTCATAATTTTAGGCAACTATGAATAAAGCTGCTATAAACATTCTTGTTCTTGTCTAAGTGGACTCAGCTCCCATTCCTCTAAGGTATATATACCTAGCAGTGGGACTGCTGGGTCAGAGGAAAGGCATATGTCCATGTTTAACAGACTCTGATCACCTTTTTCCAAAGTGGTTGTGTTAATTCACTATCCTACTAGCAACGAGAATTCCAGTTGCTTGACATTTTTGCCAGTACTTGATATTGCTAGTCTTTGTTACATTAGTCATTGTGGGGGTTTGATGGTATCTTAATGTAGATTTAATTAGCATTTTCTTGATAAGTAATGATGTGAAACACTTTTTTATGTTGATTTCCCATTTGGTTTCTTCTCTTTTTGATATGTGTTTCCATCTTTTGCTCATTTTTAAAATTGGGTTATCTTTTCCTTATTGATTTGTCAGCACTCTGAAACATTTTTATCTATATCTGCATCTTTGTCTATAGCTATATAATATAAACCTCACTTTGACTCCATAAATCTGGTCTTTCAATATCCTCTTTTAATAATGGGAAAACTGGAGACATGTGAGACTTAACTTACCAAGATGAAATGGTTTGTGTGTGAAACTCTGATATGATTCCAGAACTGCTGCCTTAACCACTAGGCTTACACTTCCTCCTCCAAACCGCAACACTCTCAATTACAAACTTATATCTGTTTTTACTAATCAAGAATTATACAGACTTTTCCCATTTTTTGAGAGCTAAAGCCAAGCAATTCATCAAAAGGACTTTATAGTAAAAGAGCAGGTCCTGAAGAGGCCACAGCAGTATCTGGGCTCCTACAGCTCCCATCTAGGTGGAATTATTCTGACCTCTATAGCTTTTGGAGATGCTATCCTTTTTTTCTGATAAAGGGCAAAACAAGGAACTTGAGCTCAACTGGTCATTAAACATTTATTGACACTTCTTTTTTTTTTTTTTTTTTTTTTTTTTTTTTTTTTTTTTTTAAGGAGAAAGCTGTCAATTCCAGGGCCTCTGCCAAATAATTTCACTCAGGTAATTGTCCTAGAGTACATTAATGCTGCAGGTATGGAAAATTCAGGTTGGCGGAGAAGTTAAATGTGGTCACTTCTTTCTATCTAAATCCTCTGGTTAGCTTCCACGAATTGAATTAGCACTTTGTTTCCTTCCTGTCCTTAAGTGAAATGCCATGAAGCTATGGAAAGTCTACTGAGTTCTGCCTAAGAAACTGGCTTCTTTTCAAAGAGTGAAGTGATCTTACTATATCCCTTACTTTTCTGAAGCACTTGTAAAATTTAATCAGCTAATGTATTGTAATGCCTGCCAAGGGTTCATAGTAAAGGATAATATTGTTACAAATGACTAATTATATATAATGTTAAAGATGTTTAAAATATTTTAAAAAGGAGCTATAAAAATATCTCAAAATTTAATGTATGAAAGTCACCACTTTCTGAATGCAAATCAAAATTCAAATATACCTAAGATAATCTTTATGTTAAAAGCAAAGAGACGTTTTATAAAGATAGTGATCTAAAATATTTGTTCATAATCAGCATGGTAATGTTTCTTTTAAATACACTGTCAAAATACCTAATAAGGTAAAGTAATAACTGAATGTTATTTGCAGTTTCCAAATAACATCAGTCATTACCAACTACCTTAGGCATTTTCTTGGGCCAACACCATACATGATTGAATAATTATCCTTTAATCAGTACAGTAATGAGTAACTGTACATTCCATGCATTAGATTTTTAAATCCAATTTTATTTCATTAGGGTTTATCACTAAATCAAAACAACCAGCTGTCTCTTATAGAACATGAAGTATGTTTCTCTTTTAAAAATGAGAGAAGTCAACAGAAAATGATTTATGAAAAATTTGGATTTAATTTTTAGGTCTCTGATTTAATTACAAAATGCAGAGTTGGTTAATAGGAAATAATTTTCATACCATTAAATTAAATACCTCAGAGTTCATCAATAATAACAAAGAAAAATCTCATAGTTACGATCTACTTTGCTTTTTGTATGCATGCAAGATCTGAAAGACAAATCAAACTTAAGGTATTTTGACTAAAGTTCTGAGATCACAGAATATCTTAAAAATATAGACTTGTATATTGTTATGATTTTGGTTGAGATAATAATATAGTTACAAGTAGAAATAATTTCTTCTTTAAATTAAACAGAAAATTTGATAAGATCTGAATATTATTTATCATATCTATAAAATCTTTATATAACAAACTAAGGCCACAAAATTTCCCCCCAAGTCTTCCTCTAGAAGCTTTATAGTTTTAGTTTTAACATGTATTTATTGTATATGGTATGAATTAAGAGTCAAGATTCTGGCAGATTTTATTGTTTATTTAGTTTTGTGTTTTTATTTATTTATTTATTTATTTATTTATTTATTTATTTATTTATTTTTTATTTGCTTATACATGTTCAGTCCAAGGAGAATGGGGTGGGGAGGGGTGAGAGATTAAACAAAAAAGAAAAAAAATAATTCACGGACATGGACAACAGTGTCATGATTGCAGAAGCAGGGGATGGGTAGAGGTGGAAGAGTGCATAGAAGGAATTAATTGAGATGGAAAAAATAAAATAAAAAATTTAAAAGTCTAAAATAAACAAACAAACAAAAAATACTTATTCATTCTCCAATTGCCTTTGCATTTTTGTAAAAACCCATTTTCCAGTATATGTAAATAAGTCTATATCTGGGCTCTCTGTTCTATTCCATTGCTTTAAGTATGTGTCCTTTTGCCAATGCCCCACATTCTTGATTACTGTACTTTATAATAAGTCTTGGAATCAGGCAATGTGATCCCTCAAACTTTATTATTATTTTGCAAAAATTATTTTGGCTATTCTAGTTCCTTTGCCTTTCCTTGTAATTTTAGAGCCACCTAGATCATTTCTCCAAAAAGTCCTGCTGGAATTTTTATTGGAATTATGCTGAATTTCTATTAAATTTGCTTTTAACTTTGAATGTTTCAGCTGGGTTAAATATGTGTCAGCAAATCCAATTACAATAAGAAAACAGATAAGCCTCAGACAACAAAAAATACAATGGATTTTAAATATGTGCTGATTAGGCAAAGATATTAGATTACTTAGCAATTATCCTAAAAACCTAGGGGGGGTAGGGAACATTCACTGATTGGAGGCCCTGATGACTCATGAAGGTGAAGGAACCATGCAGTCTCTCAAGCATAAAGGAAATATGGTCAGTTATATACAACGAAGATAATACTACAACTTTTCTATGTTGTCAAGACCGTCACAAAAGAGTCTACCAAAAGGCCCACTGACCTTTTTATATCCACTTATATTCGCATATACACTGCCATTTAAGATTAAAAATCTAAATCTCCTAACTGCTTCACATCTAAAAAGAAGTGTTTTCCAGATGCCAGGAGGTCATCTTACACAGTGATACTAGCGCAGATTAACATGAACATGAGCATTAACATGAGTCTGGGAGCTTTCAAGCCTTGTTTCTGAAATGTCCATTTTCTCCATATTATTATAGACACAGCAAAACATATGAAAGTATTTCACCTGGATGAAGATCTGTACCTGGTTGGCCAGTCAGTCCTGGAAGAGATTCCTGCAACTGATAGGTTGAGGTTGAGGATGATGTGCCATCAGCTGTGTTATTTGATGTCATATATGCTCCATACGTTGATGCGGAGTAATACTGTGCATACTGGTTTTGGCCAAAGGCTGTGTAGGATGGATAATCCTGAAACAGTAATTAAGATGTGTGTGTTTGAAATAGAAATTACTCTCTGGCAGGTTTGAAAAGGAAGCAATCGCTATGGTAAACTGTAAGATTAGTATTTGGTTCCATTTGTTTTAGAGTCCACAGCTTTGAGTTGATTCCAATGGCCAGAGACAATTTTGTGGGCACCTTCTGTATAAACATTGTCATGAATTACCCTGCTGGTTTAGCAAACCAGATCCAATACACACATTTTTAAAATATATATATATATATATATATATATATATATATATATATATATATATATATATTATTGATTTTTCACAGAGAGGAAGGAAGAGGAGAAAGATAGAGAGCTAGAAATATCGATGAGAGCTAGAAACATAGATGAAAGAGAGACATTGATCAGCTGCCTCTTGCACACCTCACACCAGGGATGTGCCCGCAACCAATGTACATGCCCTTGACTGGAATTGAATCTGGGACCTTCCAGTCCACAGACCGACGCTCTATCCACTGAGCCAAACCGGTTTTGGCATCAATACACACATTTTAATCCACCTAAAGGGTACATATGCTTCATTTTGGCCCCAAAATTATTTATCCAAGGATATACATCAACATGTCTTATGCACTTGAAGAGGCAAGAAGGGGATGGAATCAGTTCATATTCATAGCATCCGTTCTCCTACATCTAACATCACCTGCAAGGGGGAGGGAGGTGTGGCTGCCCTCCCAGCTTCCATGCACACCTCAGTCTGCATTATTTTGATTTTCATTCCCCTTCTTGGCTAACCAGTATAATTTTGTTTTCTTGTCAGGAGATAAAGAGTAAGTAAAAGGAGATGAATATAATATTTTCTCACAGCTCACATGTCATCTGAGGCCTTGACTTGGAGATGTCAGTGAGGTTTTCAAACATTTATTTGCTTCATTTGTTACAGGGGGGAAAAAAGAAAACATTGGATCAAATCCTCTGACTTGCTTTTTATTTAAAAATTTTAAGAACCTTAAAGTGACCTTAATAATCCTTCAAAATTTTTTACATATTAAGATCATGAACAAGGATTTGTTGTGATAACTGATATTTAATATATCTAGTGTGTTTTAGCTCAAATTATTATTAATAATGACAAAGCATTGGTCAGGATTAAGGTTCCCTAATACATGGTCCTAAGAGAAAGAAGATCCATGTTTGATGTGATTCCCAAAAGAGGTAATTTTCTGTGTAAGTACATATGTGTACAAACAAATATCAGAAAGGATTAAGTAGTATGGCAGAAAACTAAAATTCTATCTATCTGTTAATTTCTAAATTTGATGGTCCTCATTACCACTTGTGAGCCCATAAACAAACAAAGAAAAAACTTGCAATATTTGGACAAAGTGCCTAGTAACACATATTTTTCAGAGTAAAGCAGTAAAAACATTTTCATAGTGACTACTTTGTGTCAAATACTGTTCTAAAGCCTCCCATGGACTTAGTCATTTAATTCTCACAACCCCCTCTGCAGTATTATCATTATTCATATTTTACTCTGAAGGGGATGGAGGTGTAGAGTGCTTAAGGATTTGCTCAAGGTCAGATAGCTAGAGAGTCTCAGAGCTGCCACTGGAGGCCAGAGAGCCTGACCTGCACCTGTGCTTAAAGGAAGATGAATTTACTTATTGAAAAGGCCCAGACCACTAGCTTCTGGGGAAGACAATGTCGTTTTGTTCTCACATATATCTCAAGGATCTAACTGCTTCTCTTTATTTCCTCTACTGCCATCCTGGTCCAAGCCACCTTGACTTGCTGTTGGAACCAATGGACAGGTTTTCTAATTTGTCTCCTTCTTTTTTTATTTTTGGATTTTTCCAAAGTCCCTGAAGCCAGAGTAATCTTTTCAAAACGAATTACATGATGCTATTCTCCCGTTCAAAATCCTTTAACAGCTTCCCATTGGGATTGGAATACAATCTAAATGTCTTCCTATACATCACAGAGCCCTACTTGTGCAGGCCCCTGACCATCTGTGCAGATGTGTTTTCCCACTGGACTCTCAGGTACAAACTAAACTCCAGACTGACACACCAAGTTTATCAGCCCTGGACTATCTAGTACATGCTGCTTCCTATGCCTGAAACACCGTTGCCCTCATTCTTTACCCAGCCCTTAGGAGACTTGGCCTAAATGTCAGTTCCATGGACAGGCCTTCCACAACATCTCCCCTACTCCAATTAGACTTCTAACAATATTTTTAATAGGACCCTGTTCTCTCCCCTCATGCTAATTGTGTATTTACCTGTCTACTTACTGGTTTATTGTCACCTTTTCTCAGGAGGCTATAAACTCCATACGATAGGATCATGTTTGATCTAACCCATCCCCACATTCCTTTCCCTAGAATACCTCCCATTCCTAATACAGAATAAGTACTCAATAAGTATTTGCTAAAATAATAAATTGGTACATGGTCCATGGTCCAAAATACAGGCTACATTTTATATAGGAGCCACTGTATTTAAATATTCAGGTAGCATTGGATCTGTTTTATGATATAAATCTTTCCTCTCCTTTATGAATCTTTAATCCTCTCAACTGGAACAGATGAATTCTTTCCCTTATGTTATCACTCTACCTAGTAAACTAAAAAATAAAAAAAAAGTCAAAAGTTGCCCTAGTTGGTTTGGCTCAGAGGATATTGACCTGTGGACTGAAGGGTCCCAGGTTCAATCCTCCATTAGGGCAGGTGCTCGGGTTGTGGGCTCAATCCCATGTAGGGGCATGCAGGAGGCAGCTGATCAGTGATTCTCTCTTCTCTCTCTCCCTCTTCCTTACTCTCTGAAATCAATAAAAATGTGTTAATAATAAATAAGTAAAAAATAAAAGCCAAAAGTAGTCCAAAAGGGATTTTATTTAGTAATAAATATCATTTTGAATGTAAAATCACAACATAATCCAATTATTGATTACAATTCAATCAATTCATGTTCATAAACTGTTTTATCAAAAAATAAAGTTATATTTAGTATATTTTGTTTAGTCTTAAACTACATTATGTTTAGTTTACAATGACAGGAAAGTATGCAATACATTTTGTAATTCCATGCCAAATAATTAAAACAATCACAGCTTAAAGTTTAAAGGACAAATCTTTAGCAAACAGGATATCTAAAATATATAGAGTTACCCAAATCCCCATAATTCTGGATGGCTAATTTTTATTTCCTCAAATATGTTATCTTAATTTTAAATTTAAAAACATTATTCTGGGAGAATATGCACTTATTTGGCAACCTGAAACTATTATTCTTCCCAAATATAGACATAAAGAAGCAAAAATATAAAAACTACCATACCTGTTGTGATCCACTGAAATTCGTTGAATTGGAAACTGAATTATTTGCATAAATAGTAGATGATGGTGCAAAACCAGAACCTACAAGTAAATAAAAAAGGAATTTTTAAAGAATTTACTGTAAAATAATAAAAATATTTCACTTTGCAGATTCAATTATATATATATATATATATATATAATTTTGTTATTAATACAGTGAAATTTGAAGTTGCTATATTTATAAGGAAAATGTGCTTGACTCTATACCTCTTGTGATAACAGGTAACATCTAGAACAGTCTTATCAAGGACTGCAACTAAACTTCAAAGGTTAAATGTCTAGTAGTACAGAATATTCAAAGAATAATATATTAGCCAGACTGAAGACTACTTTCAGACTAGTGGAACTCCATTCTATTGAATTTTCAAATGGTCATATCAACTGCATTTACATACAAAAATCACCCAAATTAAATATCTGAACAGTGTTAGTATAAGAGATTAATAAGAGAATCCACTTAGAGTTAATTGATGCTTGCCTCCCCTGTCTTTTCATTATTGGGTTCTTTCCTTAGAACAAAAAGAGATAGGAACTAGGGCTCAGACTCAATTGGGTTTATAGTGTAATACTTAGGTAATCTAAGGCTTAAGGGCCTTCTAAAATTTACTATTAGGAAATTTATTCAATGATTTCTTAAATTAAGGCAAATAAGTGAACTATCAGTTTGCAGATTATTATTTTTTAAATATGTTTTTTAAAGATATGTTTCTTAAGAGGTGAAGGGAAAGACTATTTAGGCAGCTTATTATTTTACCAATGGGGTTGAATAGTATGCAATTAACACAAATTGTCCTGACCTGGAATGTACAATATGAACATACGTGGGGAAATAAATGAAAATGTCTCTGTGGTCTCTGTCACATACTTACTGAGGCTGTAGCATGTGGACAAAGATATTTCTCTCTACATTCTAGATAAAAAAGACCTGCCATGTCAGCTAAAATAGTCTAAGTAATCATTTCATTTTAGTCAATTGACTCATGTCTATGCTAGTTGCTTCAAATATGTTAATATATCACCAAATTTTTTACTCTAATAATATAGACAAAATGACAGCTAGGAATAAGATTTTAATATTTTTATTATGTCATTAATTTTTCTGCAGTAACTACACAGTGATTAAAAAGAATTTTTAATTGGAGTAAAAAACAAGGGGAAAAATTAAACAATGACCACATAGGAAGGATTTGGGGGGGGTGGTATATTTAAATTATATAAATATTCCTATTAAGAAATGTAGTGTCAATATGGGAGAGGTATTTTAGGAATGAACAAAAAAAATCATCATTCAATGATAAATGGGACTTAGAAAGTACTAACTCAATATTAAATAGAATAAAAACAGCATTACACCCTTAAAAAATACTAACAAGGAAATGGTTGTTTTGTCATGAATCTTTGAAATCACTTAAGTAGATGCTAAACATGTGACTGCTGGCATAGTGACTGGCTCAGAGGTTGCTTTGCTTGGATCAAGTTTACTATCAATTTGACACAACTTAAATTTAAGTATTTAAATTTAGTATGAGTCATATAATCTTGATGTATAATCAACTTTTTTCATCCTGTTTCTTTGCTGATGAAATCGTGTGAGTAAAGGTTTAATGTTTAAAACTATCTTCATGTCTGTATAATTCTACTCTGAAGCCAAGGAGTCTCATTCAAAGAATCTGTTTTCACATAACACATCTCCTGTGTGTCTACTTACCTGGCATCTGGTAAGAATAAGGTGTCTGGCCTGGCTGTGGGGTGGAGAACCCAGGGCTGTAACTGAGGCACCCGCTCTGTAACGGAGACTGAGTTTGTGGAAGTCCACTCTCTGTCTTGATGCCTGGCAACATCACACCCAAATCTGTTTGGAAAATACATGTGCAAACCAGCGAGTTACTGAAATGATCTTACTTCCGTGTGATATATTAGAATATACAACTGCCAGCAGGATTACCAGCTTACAACCAAAGGAGAAGAGAGAAGACGTGAAATACCGTAAGTGGGCAGGCTGTAGGGCTGTCCTGTCTGTGAGTAGGCTGTGTAGACTGCTGGCTGCTGCATTCCCGAATACTGAGTCTGGCCTGCATAGGCAGACATTGTTTGAGCTGCTGGTGTAGAAAGAATGTGTGGATAGGGCCTAAATATCAGAAAAATAGCATTACTGTGGCAACAAAGACTGCATATTAATTCAGACAGCTTAGATTCAGTGAAACCTCATAGTAGCCAGGAAGTAATCCTCTTCTTCATCCACAATATGATTTTCACAGTATAGGAAAGCACATGAGTCTGAATGTCGGGAGCTCAGGTTCTGATACAAACCAGGCTAGTGACCTTGGACAAATACTTTAAACTCTCTAAGTCTATACCTTCCTGAAAAATGAGAAATTTTGGTTTAGATATTATATCTAAAGTCTCTTTCAGGTCTATAATTCTTATTTATATCAAACATGGCAGTCTACTTAATATATATATATGTGTGTATATATATATATATATATATATATATATTAGGAAAATGGAACACAGGCAAGTTAACTAATATGCTTGTGAGTATATTTCCAGTTGCTGTGAGTGACCTAATACTATGCAATGACTACAAAAGTCATTAAAAGTGCTACCAAGAACTAAAATCTAACAACAACAACAAAAGGTAGGCAGCTAGCTTTTTGAAAATAAATAGAATGCCATCCTCCTCATCATGCCACATTTTATAGAACGTTCCCAACTGGATATCCAATCCCCCACCTATTCTTAAAGGCAGACACTTTAGCTGCTGCAGAGAAGAATGCTTAAATGTGTATGAATCAGGGATCCCAAATCTTGACACCTTTGGCTGACTGCAACCAAATTTAGATATACAATCAATACAGTTAAACTCAAATTTTCTACCACTTCCCTCAACAAGTTGACTTTATTTATAAAAAAAAGTACAGCATATTCTTCAAAAATATATCTATTATGACTTGAAATCTAAAAAATATATACTGTAATGATGGAATAGATTATAAAGTGATATTTGAATAAAATGTAATATTTTAGGTTTGTTTTAAGCTCAATAGCATTTTAGGGTTTTCATTTAAAAAATCAGTGTGCCCTGTTTTGAACTTGATGCTTTCCTCAAGGTATACCAATATCTAGGATTAAGTGAACTGTCCAGATTATAAAAAGGAGTATATCTCTTATTTCTAGATTTATGCATGATATATATCTGTCCAATTAATCAATCAGAGTATCTATCTATAACACATTTATATACATAAATGTATCCCAATTTAAAGTTCTATTGTGTGACTACATATTAATAAAGGTAATCCTGAAAAATTATTCTAACAAATCTGAAAACAATCTACTGACCACTTACTTGGAAGGATAGAGCTGTGGGGAATATTGATGTGCTGATCTGGGACTGTAGCCACTACTTGTTATTACTGTAAGACACACACAAAAGTTCAAAAAGGTTGCTTCATAAGTATATTTCATTAGCATATACAAAACCAATTTAAAGACATTATCACATTAAAGGTATATATCTAAAAATTCACTGATTTTCCAAAAAATATGAATTCATTTTCTAAACAGAAACAGATGCCCATTTTATTCTAACTGAACTGCTTCAACTTTGTTCTAAGAGCATGAAATGAATTCTTAAAAATCATTCACCTCGCCGAGACCGGTTTGGCTCAATGGATAGAGCGTTGGCTTGGGGACTGAAGGGACCCGGGTTCGATTCCGGTCAAGGGCATGTACCTTGGTTGCGGGCATATCCCCAGTAGGGGGTGTGCAAGAGGCAGCTGATCGATGACTCTCTCTCATTGATGTTTCTAGCTTTCTATCTTTCTCCCTTCCTCTCTGTACAAAATCAATAAAAAATATATATTTAAAAAAATCATTCACCTCCATTATTCTTTCATTTTCTCAAATAAGTAGCATGCTTTTATATATTAATATGCTATGGATAAATATATTTAATTATAGGTGATTATTCTTTCATGATGTAAAGGTACATTTTTTCATTTGCAAACTTTGTTTTAAATTCCAAATATGATGCCAATACATTACCCTTCCTCCATATTTATTTTAATACAATTATAATAAAAATTAAGAAAAAATGTGACAGTCCACCCTTGATTTTCAAATTGTCAAATGATATCATATTCTATTTTCTTTCTTTTACCAATCAGATGAGTAATTTAAAAATACAGCCCAAACTATTCTACTAATAATTGCAATATACACAGACCGCATGGGTGATGATGCAACACTTAACAAAAAACACACACACACAAACCATAATTGCAAAATGCTGTAGCAACCTTATTTACAAAAATATTTTGACCTATCAGAGATAGAACTTTTTTGAGAAGAACAGAAAGGTGAAAGCCAGGTCCTGTTAATATTTCACCTAAACATGCAGCCCCAAACTGGAATATGTCCAAAAGTTTGGAAGTTTCTCTTTCCTTTAACCATCTGCTTGACTAAGACGGATGTATTGCAAATATATGGGCTCTACCGTGTTGAGGAAGTCCCTTCAGAGCCAGTCCATACTGGGCAAGCACACAGAGTGTCTTTATTAGGCCATCTGCTGTTCATTCACCTTTCAAAAAGATTAAAGTAGTACACAATGCAGTGCTGGAATTAGTTTAGTCTAATCAATCATAGTTATACTTCAAAGTACTACATCCTTTCTAAGTTGTTCATAATAATTCTAGAGCTAAACTTTTAGAATTGTAAAAGTGACAAATAGGTTTAGGTTGCTAACTATTTCATGAAACATGAGATTTTTCTATATCAAAATGCTATTAAGTGCCCTTGTGATCTGCTACTTCATAAACAGGTAGAATTTAATGTATTTAAAATGTTATTTGGCCTGTGAACCCTGAGGATTAAAGTCTATTATAGTTGTCATAGCAACAGTATAGGAAGTATGTTTTCAAGAATATTATGAATCAATTTTGAAAATCATTAATTATGACTAGGGTGTTATGTTGTAAATATGTTCAGCAGCCATTATTTAAGTGTGCTTATTATGTGCAGTTGAAAATACATTGACTAATCAACCATTAATTTTCTATTTTTTTTTTACTATATTACGGTCACTAACTGTTCATTATATAATTTTAAGTGTGACTCCACAGGAAATTCAGTCTGATTAATTAATTCATAATAGTGAATACTGTTTATCAAAAACATAGTTGAATGAGGTTTAATTCCATGACATTTTATTTATAAAACTTCACTTGGGCACACTCAAAACTTAGACTATACTAATCTTTTGTTTTTATGGTTGCGAAACAAGGATTTTCCAAAGAGATATAAAATATTGAAAAGAAACATTCTCTGAAGCAGCTTTCATTAAATAAGCCAAGTAGCAGAATTATTTCAGAAAAATCCATATGGGTGAACACAAGAATGAATATATAGGATCCTTTCTCCCTCAAAGAATGAATCTAGAAATCTTTAGAATAATGCACTCTTAACAGTATAAAGGGTCAATTAAAATTTCACATTAATGTCTATATGTTCATTTTCTAAATATAACGTAAGATCTTTGTTTTAGAAAACTAGAATGTTTGCATAAAACTTGGAGAGTTTATTCTTCTTAACTAAAATTTCTACATTTCATTCTAGCATAAAATCTCCACATAACTGATAACAACAATAAAATTTAAAATGAAGTTGAGCTTATGCTGAACAAAGTAAAGACAGTCGCTACCCAGGCAGCCTAATCTTCAGTATGACTTCTGGAGAACCATGGAGGCCTCCCCCATTGCCATGTAACTAATCTAGACATATTACCCAAAGCACCATACTCATTATACTCCATCATTTCTGCCTATAAAAGTAAGAAAAACTGCTTGCTTTAAAAATTTCCTGAAAACAAATTAAGACAAAATTATAAAGAGTATTATCAGGTTCTCCGAGTATGATATCAAGCAATTTTAATGTTTTGTTCTTATGATCATGGAACCTTAGCTCAGTGACTGTCAACAGAGTGAGAGGTAGGGGATGCAGTTGGGGGCTGAGTAGAAATTTTGCTTGCCAGGGGACATTAAAAATGTCTGGAGCCACTTTGGGTTGTCATAAGTGGAGGGTGCTACCGTTCTCTTGTATATAGATGATAAAGAAGCTGCTAAATATCTTGCAATGCAGAGGGCAACTACCTCACAAGGAGAAATAAGTCCAGTTTAGATAGTGCTGCTTTTGAAGATCACTGACCTAAGTCATTGCTGTCCTAAAGAACTTGGTCCATGGTGTTAGGAATGTTCTATACCTGAGTTATCCAATATGAAAGCTACTAGAAAAACCACATACATCTATTAAACACTTGAAATGTGATTAGTGAAACTACATGGCTTTTTAAAATTTGTACCAAATATTAGTCAATTTAGACTTAAATAACTACATATGTTTAGTGGGCACTTTATTGGACAACATGGTCCTAAATAATTCTTAAAAAAAAACCCAGACAAACTTTGTAAAAAAAAAAAAAAAGTGTTTGTGTGTGTGTGTGTGTGTGTGTGTGTGTGTGTGTCTGTGTTATTTTCTCCCCTCCCCCCCATGTTTATATTTTCCTGTGGGTATTACAGAAAGTCTCCTGAATAGTCCAGAATACTGTTCTAGACTATAGCAGAAATCACCTGTGCAGTTTTGATTGTCTGGCCCTTACCACTCTTAACTTCTCAGTGCCTTAGTATTCTTACCAATAAAATGAATCATAGATCTCTAAAATTCCTTCTGGTGCTAACATTCTATAAGTTTGTCATTCAGCTTTCAATTAACTTGTGATATGCTATTTAACTATGTATGTCATCAATTACTTATAATTCCATTCCTTTCCTTAAAAATATGTTTATATGCATTTACTTTGTAGAAAGTTTACAAGGGTTATAATGAGTAGTAAAAAATGCTAGAGTTAGTTGGTACCTATTTAGCTCCTGGGAGGCAAGTGAATTGCTAGAAACAATATAAATGAACACATATGAATCTTTATTATTTCTTTCTGTTTGGAGTACTAATATTTATGTAAATATAAGACAAGCACTCCCAATCAGTGTGAACTCAGGAAATGAGATCATCTTTATCTTTAAAAATCAAATATATGCTATGATGACATTATTCTCAAGGTTATATCTCAATGCTTTACACGAAGCTTACCACATGAAACCCTCTCCATGAGAACATGGAAAAATGTAAAATAAAACAGAATAACAGAACAAAGATTTAATTACCACAAATACTTTTCCAGGTTTAATGTTCATCTTTCTGCTAGCTATACACATTCCTCCTCACATTAAAAAAAAGAAAAAAGAAAAAAAGAATCCTTTCACCAGATAATAAACCAAACAAAATATTGTAACTTTAACTAAGTCAACTTTGAGCGTGTCCTCTGTGCCCACCTGGGAGTTATCAGGTATTGGTATTTAAAAGGATTGATGTTTAAAGACACACCATTGTTCTCTTTGAAGCATTTGAATGAAAGTAGTGCTCTCAAAGGCTGGTTCTAATGCAACCCGCATGTGCTCTCCTGCAGCCCATTAACCTTTAATACTTGTCACTCAGCTGCTTGTATGGGAGGATTTTTTTTTTTAAAACCCAGAGAGGAAACAAGGTTATTTAGAAGGAATCAAATGGATAGTTTTACATCTCAAATGTTGGAGGAAAGGCAGTTTTTATGTCGTTTGAATGGGCAAGTTGATGGGATAAAGTCAACTATTACAACCTAATTATTAAATTAAACACGGTATAAAATAATTATGAAGGAAGCCATAGATCTGCTTAGTTCTGATAAGAAAGCCAAGGGGGATTGTTTTGCTGTCAACTAAAAAAAAAAATCTAGCAAGATGATTCCAAATATAATTTCTAAAAATGCATAGTTTTATGACCATCAGTTCTCAAAAAAGTTAATTTATTGCTAAATGTATTTAAAAAAAAAAACACACACAAACCCTATGTTCTAACAGCCTTGGTGTTTACGCTGCTCATCCACTAGGAGAACTGTGTGTACCCCGATGTGTACGTAACAACACACGAGCTTAAGGCTTTACCTGACCCAGTAAAAGTGTCAAGCGCTCCATCTCCAGTCGTGGTTGTGGTTTCACTGCTGTTCAAAGGTTCTGTTTTGACTGCAAGGAGAGACACTATGTAGAAGAATAAGTACATGTGAGTTTTATTTCTAAATTGATATCAAAGATGCTGATTGTTCTACTAGTGGTTTTTCTAGCTACCATGGGCATGCAAGAGAGAACTTGAGAAAGTCAATGAGAGTTTTGTTAATTTAGTTTCTAAATGGACATGCATTTGGAGAGAACTTAATCGCAAATTCCTCTGGCCAAGCCAGTTCTCTTGAATCTGGCTTTTCAGGGCAGTCCACCTTATGAAGTTGAAACAGCAGTATACATATTTGCATTTTTAACTCACCTAAAGCACACTCTGACATTATAGTCAAAAGACAGAAAAAAGGAACCATTGGTCAGTCTTCAGAACATTTAATACAAAACATAACAATGAGATGTACTAGTTTATACTTTATTTTCCCTAAGAAGGTATTTTTTTAAAAAATAATTGCATAAGAGTACAATGGAGGCATACTGAAATACAGAAACCATGTGCATACTCATGTGATGGGTAAAAAATGAAGCACTCAAATTTTTTGCTCTTAGCAAAGACTAAAGAGGTGTTGGGCTTTTTTATTTTAATGGCATATTGATTTTTAATGAATTATAGGGCAAAATATAGAATAAAAGATGATTTCTACAGCAATAAGTGTATCTTTTGAAAACTCTTTAATATGTTATTTCTTCTTTGAGGTGGTATATTTTGGCAAAATCCTCACTTGGCACTGATGCAGCCTGGCACACATAATTGTCATTAGATGTGAGTCGGGGGAGGGAGGCAGTGGAAAAGCCTCTACTGATTTTGTCACACCATATTTTCCCTCTGTGGGCGGAGCTCTGCTACATATACCACAGCAGCAAGGGAGTACACTGAATTATTTTCTACTTAACACCTCTTATGTTTCCTGGAATGATGCACTTATATAATAACTTAGAAGCAAGCAGAAAACTAGAAAAAAGAAAGCTTAAGACTAGCCAACCACGAACAAATATGACAAAAAGAATGGTGGGTCAGAACATACCCACCAACCAAAGAAGTCAGTTCGGTTATGCTGTTAGAAAAACAATTAGTGGAGAAACATGCAGTCATGATTACGCTCTCTTTCCACAGGAACAGAACTCACTGGACCCTCCCTTAGCAAGCTCTAAGGTTATTTTACTATTCATCATTCAATAATGTCCTGAAGGTTTGCTGGATGATTCTAAGAGGTTGGAAAAGGGGGGAGTAAAGAAACTTGTCTTACTTCTCCTAGCAAAAGGGAAATTTAAGGTCTACCTCTATTTCAATAGCAACATCGTTTGAGGAGTAGTATCTCATTATTTGTATAATGATAAGTAATATATTGAGGTTACTACTTTTTAGTAGTAACTTGGATGGTAGTTCCTATTATGCTTATAGCTGATCACTAATGAAATTTACCACCACAAAATTATTTGCTCCTACGTAATTATTTATTGAGAGGTTATTATGTGCTAGATTATTCATATTTAACTATTCCTTAAAACAACTTTGATCAATGCAAACCACTATATCCAATTTACACAGGAGGAAACTAATGTTTGGGTGAGCTGATGGGCCTGTTCCATTGCAGGTGATATCAAGCTAAGACCCATATGCAGGTCTTTAGCACCAAATCAATGACCTTTCCACCATAACAGGCTGTCTTCAGGTATGGAAATGGTTTACATTCATGACAGTGACTCGTCATGATGGCTCAGAAAGTGGTAAGAATAGGCTATTTTTTAGATGGAGCAATTATGCATACTTTGATAATAATGAAAGCTCCAAAGTGTGGGAATAGCTAATACTGTTTGTTTTCCATTTCTTTCTCATGAAATATTTTAAAGGACAATAAGAAGTAGCAAGTTTGAAAGCAGATGACAACACATACTTAAAAGGTACTTAATACATTCCAGGTGCTCTTGCTGTGCTTTATAGATATTAACTCATTTACTTCCCATGACAATCATATGAGGTAGGTGATATTATCATCTTCCTTTCTCAGATGAGGGAACAAAGAGGCACAAAGAGGTTAAATAGCTTGTCTATAGTCACAGAGCTAGTGAGTGCTAGAATTTGAGACCAGGGTGGTACAGTTTCAGAATCCAAACTCTCAACCATACTGCTTTTGCAGGCTGCACTAACTAACCAAGAATTCCTTTCATCTGTGTCTGTATAAAAATGATCCAGAGTGTGATCTAGATGGGCGTAAAGGCTCTCTGTGCTGCAATGTCCACATTTCACTCCTGATATTTATGACAAAAACACCGTCCAAAGCCTTCAAAACTAAAACAAGAGAAAATTTCTTGGAACTTCCAAATTCAAAGTGTGGTCAAATTCCTACTTAAACACAACTAAATCTATGAACACTATTTGTAAAGTGCACTTGTAAATGCTTAAAAGTAAATTATTATTTTGATTTCAAAAACAGCAATTATATTTTGATGTTGTAGATTAATGAGTCCTGCAGTATTCTACATGTTCTATTTCCATAAAAATAAAATGAAAAAAAAAACTATATATGGTACTTTGCTCAGAAGAAATACTTTAATTGCCTGGTCCCCCTGCCCACTAATAATCCACTTATGATTTGTTTTTAATAAAGCCAAATCATTTTTAAAAGGGTCAAGTTAATTTTATTGTATTGAAATGACTGGATTTTCACCTTTAAAATAATCTACAGATTTAATCAAGATTGTATATGACTACTGTCATGTGTTAGCTATGTCTACTAAACCATTGATTTCCTCCCTTCACATCCCAACCTTTATCCATATCCTCATACACATATTTTCAAATTAAATCTTGTTCCTGCAGTTTATCTTGAGTATTCAAGTACAGCATTGATGTGTATATTTTTTAGAGAAAGTCTGACTTATTATCATAATAGCATTCATGTCCGTTTGTTGCAATAGGGCATTGAATCCTTAAAAGAGCTGACCCAGTAATTTATATTTTATATTTAAGTGTCCACTAAAAAGAGTATATATCTACATATATAATTCCAAATACACTTCTTGCTGAATCACAAAATTAAACATAGCAACTTTGACCCTTTAGGTTCTACAAAGAATTTCAGGAGGATTTAGATCAGGAGGGAGACAATTCATACCACTGCAGGGGAACAATAAGTATTGCCTGCCAGTTTTAATAATTGCTACAGCCTATGGTTTATATTTGTCTAAATCAATATATTCATTAAAAAATCTATGAGCTCCAAGTATCTTTTGGCCCTAAGTATTGAAAAATAATTTGATGAAGCAATTTAGGGTTCTCATTCCAAAAAGCAAATGTAAAAAGGACTCTACTGCACATGTATATAACATTCAGAAATAAATTAATTACCTGTGATTCACTCACTGATATATTAAATATTTTGGATGATTCTTTTTTATGCTATGTAGATTCTAATGTACAGGGATGGGTAAAAGTAGGTTGATATATAATAATAATAATAATAATAATAATAAATAATACAATCATTAATTAATAAATAATAATACAAGAATAAACTGTTACATGAACTCACAACTGTAAGCCTACTTTTGCCTACCCCTTTATAGAAAATGCCATAAATCTTATCACAATGGCTGATTTTGGTTTCCCCAAATTGCTCCGAAGCATTTTCTAAATTTCCATGTAGAATAGAATAGTCCCTCCCTCTACTGGTTAGGCAACCCACAGGTTGAGAACTGCTAGCAGGGTCACCGAAGACCATCGAAAAACACAGATATTCACATTACGATTCATAACAGTAGCAAAATTACAGTTATGAAGTAGAAACGAAAATGATTTTATGGTTGGGGGTCACCACAACATGAGGAACTGCATTAAAGGGTCACAACATTGAAAAGGTTGAGAATCACTGCTTTATAGAAAGTTTGCTGAACCCTGATCTATATGCTAAGGTATGATTGCATTTATTCTATTTTTATTACGTTTTATATTTTAACAATTTTATAAGTGACAAAAATTTGAAAGGAAAATTTAGATACCAATATAAATCTGCAGATGAAATTAGGATTAAGGTGATAAAACATTTTAAATACAAGTAATAGTGTAATATACTGAAACAGCAGCAATGTAATATGGTAAGTTAAGGTAATACTATCAACTCACTCATATTAGTATAAAATATATAACTAAATTTATCTTTTTGAAAATCTCAAAATAAATGGAAAGTTCTTGAAAACACTCTAAATTAGCTTTTTTTTATTATAATAATTTTATGCAATGATCCAATACCAACAATAAAACCCAGGATTAAAAATAAAATAATTTACTGTCAATGGGAGAGATTATGCACCAAATGCTTAGTTTGTATTATAAACAGCCAATATAAAAAGTCATTAAACCTCATCAAAAATTTCATATCAATATGCCACCAAGACTATGTCATTAATAATCAAAGTATAATCTCACTAAAGATTTGCCTTCTGTGGTCAATTTACATATTGTAAATTCAGAAGAATTTATTATTTGACCAAACATTGGAGGATATGTTAACATAATGCATGTTTTATTTTCTTTAAGAATTTGTTGCCAGCTCAGGTGGCATGGCTCAGTGGTTAAGCATCGACCAGAAGGTCTCGGTTCAATACCCAGTTAGAGCACATGCCCAGGAGGCAGATCGATGCTTCTCTCTCATCACTGATGTTTCTATCTTTCCCCCTCTCCCTCTTCCTCCCCCTTCCTCTTTGATGTCAATAAAATATATTTATAAAAAGAATTTGCTGGCCAATTATTATTAAATTATTAATGAAAGAAGGAAATATTTTGACATTTATTATCAAACAACTTACATACATTTGCCAGGGAAGTGCTATTAACCTTCTTTTATAGAAAAGAATTAAAACTCAGAAAGGTTCAGTAACTTGTCCAAGGTGACACAGCTCATAAGTGTAGTGATAAGATTCAAATCACATCCTTCTGACACATAAGACCTTGTTCTTCCCAAATGGCCACATGACACTTAATATTAATAATATGAACCAGAAAACTTGAAGTGTAACACTCAGAAAAATGTTTCCAGTTAAGATTATAAGATTAGCCATGAATTACTAAATATTATTTATATATTTACTATTTAATATATTTACTATTATAAAAGTTGCCTGTGTTATATTAATACTACTTTAGAATAGAACATCAGCCAATGAGCTAGAAGTATTTTAAATCTTAAATGTTTTAAAAGTGATCAAATTTGCCGAAATTGGTTTGGCTCAGTGGATAGAGCATCGGCCTGTGACTGAAAAGTCCCAGATTCGATTCTGGTCAAGGGCATGTACCTTGGTTGTGGGCACATCCCCAGTAGGGGTGTGCAAGAGGCAGCTGATCCATGAATCTCTCTCATTGATGTTTCTAACTCTCTATCCCTCTCTCTTCCTCTCTGAAAAATCAATAAAATATATTTTAAAAAATAAAATAAAAGTGATCGAACTTGGAATATTTTGTGACACGAAATTAATATAAAATTAAATTTCAGAGTCCATAAATAAAGTTTTATTGGAACCTAGTCACACTAATTCATCTATCTACTGTCTATGGCTGTTTTGGGACTATGATGGCATTACTGAGTAGTGGAGACAGAGGCAATATGACCTACAAAGCCTAAAATATTTACTATCTTGCTCTTTATGAATAAAGACCTATGAAGAGAAACTAATTCAGGCAATATAAGTTTAACTATGGAAAGTATATTTTAAGTGTGAAATTGAAAAAAATTGAAATGAAAATTATAAATATAAAAGTAATGGGCATGATGGAATATTCCTCATTCACTGGTCATAAGATCTAATATAATCGTGATTTGGCAAGGTCCAACAAGGTGTGCCTAGTCTAACTGCTTACTCATAATGCACATTTGTGATAGGTAGTGAATTCAGTTTAATCTTGAGTTGGGTGATTCTATAATAGTGCTGTGGTATCATATTTATTTTTAAATTTTGATAGTATGTTAACTTTGGATTTAGGAAAAAGGTTTGTTTATACTTTAATACACATTACCTATATGAATGTAGTAAATGTCTATAGTTCAAAATATTTTCAGACAATATTAATTTACAATTTTAAATATATAGCTTTAATCACTGATGTTTTTTTTAAATGATGGGATTTTAACTGTTAATGTTACTTTAATTGGAATATTTAATAAAGCCTCTAAAATAGCAAATACCTCTGCCATGCTAAAATGTCAAAATAAATTAGAAGAAAAATATATAGGTTAAAAAGATAAATGAGTTTGTATGTACACACAATCTGTTTCAAATTCTCTGACTGACATGGATGTGGTGCTCAATTAACCACTTCATAAATTGATGTGTAGTTAGAAGAACAATAGATGCATCATTTTTGTAAAATTATGAAAAAATATAAGAATACTGCTGATAATAAGAACTTGAGATGAGAATAGTAGTTGATATGAAAAATATAGCCAATAGTTATCAATAAACAACTAAAAGGCATGATCATTTCTTCTTTTCCTTTACAAGTATTGGACACAGAAAGAAAAAGGTGCAAACGCAGAAATAGCAACACAAAGCAAACCAAAGGGGCAAGTCCACACACCCAAACACATGCCGTGTACCATCATCTCTCATACTTGTTGCGGAAGAGGGAGTGTTGCAACTCAGCAACCAGTCTGCAGTGTTTAAAACAGTCATGTTGTCCCCTGAGAACAGGAACAGTATAAGGGTTCATTGTCTGAGTGCCTGCTCAGTGTACATGAATAGTTTTCAATGCTTGCACTGGTTTCTGACCTTTTCGCCAAAAATTATAGCTGCATGGTATGACTTTTACATTTCAGTTGGTCAGGTCTGTTTTAGTTCCGTTAAATATATACACATGATGATTAGTGAATTCCAGGGTCTGCTTCCAGAATGCATGGTTTTTAAAAAATATTATTATTTGGACCATGCTAAGGTTTAAATATTAATGTTTTTACTCCAAAAGTCATCACTAAACAGTTTTATACATTTACAATCCTATAATTAATTAGCCAAAACTATAGATGCATGTTTAGGGACAGGTAAACATTATAAACAAGAAAAATGTTAATTTACAAAGGGTTTGGTGTAAAACATTATTAAATACAGGCAAATTGCAATGCACACAACTTTACAAAGGAAATTTTAGGTTGCACAGTTCTAAAATAAGTGAAAAGAGGTGTATCAACTTCATAAATATTTATTGAAAATTTTAAAGAAAATATGATGTGGCAAATGCTGATATCTAATAATTTGAAGTTTATAAGTTAAAACAAATTTCATGTAATTTTTCACTTACTGAATAAAATAACTAGATCTATAAAACTTGAAAATAATTGAATAATTTAAAATGCAACTTATGTGTATATCGATGTAGTCTATATATTGTGATGCAAAAATAAAATTATATTTTCTGGCAAATTAATGCATTTTATAAAAAAAATAAGGCAGAATATTTGAAATAACTGTTAATGTTGTTATATGCTGTGTGTTAATTATGGGTTAATCAAATGAAGAGATATCTAGAAAAGTATTAAAATTCCTATTTTTAAATACATGCTAGGTATTATTCTTTTAGTAAAGAAAATTGCAGCAGATACACCTTTTCTGTTTCCAAATTTACTTTTAAGGAAAACTACATTTTAAGAAAAAATTTTTGGTAGACTTTCTCTTTCTTATAATTCAAAATAAAATTATAAAATAATATGATTTTTTATTCTTTGTCTTCTTTTTTTGTAAAAACCTTTTGGCGACCTTTTCCACATTTTAGAAAAATATCCACAAGGGAAAATGCAAAAAAAGAAGCTTCACTAAAGGCCTTCAATGTTCGCCATGGCTGTCTAGATGTTTTTGAATGTTTCCAGTTTTAGAAGAGGAACAAACATTTCAAGAAAATGAACAGAACAATAAATAATCCATTAACTATATATTCCTTTCATATAATGTTGATTGTGTTATTGCCAGTGAGATATTTACTTATTAGTAGACCCTAACATATGAAATTGTGGCAAACATTAAAATGTGAAAATGTGCTTCTGGGTGTCTTTGAGGTTGTACACTTACCTCCTGTCCCATTTGTGGTGACTGATGTGCTGCTGAGATTTGCTTTCTCCAGTTTGGAGCTACCAGGGGCATCACCACCTCCAACCAGAGGATGAGGACTCGCTAGGTCCTGCATTTCCATAGACCTATCAGAGCAGGAAGCAAGAGAGCAAAAGTTGAAATCTCAACAATTACTAACTTTTAAAAAATATGTTTCTATTGATTTCAGAGAAGAAGGTCGAGGGAGGTGGAGAGAAATATCAATGATGGGAGCTAATCATAGATCAGCTGATTTCTCAGCAGAAAATTTACAGGTCTGAGGGAGTGGCAGGATATATTTCAAGTGCTAAAAAAAGAAACCTACAAACCTAGATTACTCTATCCATACAAGTGAACACTAAAGGATTTCATCACTATTAAACTGAAATACAAGAAATATTTCTATTACAAGAAATATTGAAATTTCTTCTTCAGACAGAAAATAAACAGCCATAAGCAGAAATAAAATATGTGAAAGAAAAAAAAATCACTAGAAAAAGTGATTAGAAAAAGCAAACATATAATAAACAATGAATCAGACACTTAAAAAGCTTATATGGTCTGGCTGGTGTTGTTCAAAGGTTGAGAACTGACCCATAAACTAGGAGGTCACTAATTTGATTTCCAGTCAAGGCACATAGCTCTGGGTTGTGGGCTCAAACCCTAGAAAGGGGAGTGCAGAAGGCAGGTGATTAATGATATTTCTCTCTCACTGATGTTTCTATCTCTCTATTCCTCTCACTTCCTCTCTCTCTAAAAATCAATAAAAACATTTAAAAAACTTAATATGAAGTTTAAAAGACAAAAAATAGCAAAACCAACTCTAACTACAATAAGTAGTTAGGGAATTTACAAAATAAAAATTTCTAAAACACGATGAGCAAAACTGAAGCGCTTTAGAATATGTTTGAACTTAAAATGTCTATCTGCTTAAAATCTGCTTAAAATGTCTATCTGCTAAAAATCCAGGCAAAAATTCAATATGAAAACAATGACCTTATACATCATTTGAGAAGCTGCTCAACATTATTATGAGAAGATGCTCGACAGCAAAATATATTGATCAATATATATGAACTTCATAGTAACATAAATCAAAACCTACAAAAGATACACAAAAATTAAAGAGAAAGAAATACAAAGAAAACAACTATATAAATAATAAAAAAAATAATTAACAAAATGGAAAAAAGACCATACCTATTTGTAGTTTAAAAACAAATGGACTGAAACGCTCTGATCAAAAAGCATATGATAAATTAATGGATAAAAACAAAACAAACAAACAAACAAACAAAAAATAAGCAAGACCCACCCATCTACTGCATACACAAGACTCACTTCAGATCAAATGAAAAACACATACTGAAAATGAAGATATGGAAAATATACTCCACATAATACAAATGAAAAGAAAGCTGGAATAGCAATACTCATATCAGACAAGTTGGACATTAAAACAAAGACATAAAAAGAGACAAAAAGAAGACTATTACATATAATCAAAGGGTCAAAAGATATAATATTCATAAATATCTATGCTCCCAATATAGGAGGACTAAATATACATGGCAAATATTAACAGACATAAAGAGAGAAATTAAAAATTTTACAACAACAGTAGAAGACTTTAACACCCACATTATATATAATGAAAGGCCAGGGACCATAAGCATAATGATTGGAACAACCGCTTGACCAGTCTCCATGAGGTGCATTGACCACCTCTTGGTCCCCTCCCCCTCGCCCCCATGAGTAGAGGGTCATGGTGGTGGGCAGTGTGCTTATGGCTCATGGTGGCAGGTGGTGAACAGGGTGGTGAGTGGTGGCAAGCAGAGGTGAGCTATGTGTGCATGATTTCATGCACTGGGCTTCTAGTACAATAAGAAATAAAAAATCCAGGCAAAAATTCAATATGAAAACAATGACCTTAAACATCATATGAGAAGATGCTCAACATTATTAATCATCAGGAAAATGCAAATCAAAAGTACAGTGAGATATGTCAGAATGGCTATTATCAAAAGTCAACAAATAAGTGTTTGTAAGAATGTGGAATAAAGGGAACTCTAGTGCACAGTTGGTGTGATCGTAAAATTGTTGCAGCCACTCTGGAAGGCAGTAGAAAGGTTCATCAAGCAATTAAAAATAGGATTATTGTACAATTCAGAAATGCCAATTTTGACTTTTTACCAGGAGGAAACAAAATGCTAATTCGGCCCTAGCCAATTTGGCTCAATGGACAGAGTGTTGGCCTGTGGACCAAAGGGTCCCCAGTTGGATTCTGGTCAAGGGCATGTAGTGGGTTGCAGGCTGTTCCCTGGCCTGGGCCCTGGTTCGGGCTCGTTCAGGAGGCAGCCAATTGATGTGTTTCTTTCACATCTATGTTTTTCTGTCTTTTCCTCTCTCTTCTAATCTCTCTAAAAATCAGTGGAAAAATATCCTTGGATGAGGATTAAAACAAACAAACAAACAAACAAACAAACCAATTCAAATATATAAAAGCACCCCTAGTTCACTGCAGCATCACTTATAATAGGTAAGAAATGAAAGCCACCTAGATTTCCAACCATAGATTAATTGATAAAGAAGTGGTACCTATATACAATGGAATATGACTCAACCATAAAAATGTATGAAATTTTATCATCTGCAACAACAATATAGATGGGCCCAGAGGATATGGTCTAGAGTGAAATAAGTCAGACAGAAAAAGACAAATATCATATAATTTCACTTATACATGTAATCTAAAGAAGAAAACGAAACATAAACAACCTCAGTGATGCAAAAAAATGAACTGATCATTGCCATAGAGATGCAAGATTGGGGAAGAGGAGTAAAAAATGTAAAGGGTTAAATAACAGAGACAAAATACTAGTTATAAAATACATAAACCACAGGGGTGTAGTATACAACAGAGAGAATACAGTCAATAATATAACAGTAACTTCAATCAATAGACTTATTATGGTGTTCACATCATAAGGTATATTAATGTCAAAGCACTATATTGTACACCTGAAACGAATACAGTATTATATGCTTTAATTTTTAAAAAATTAAAAAATTAAAAAAATCCTTTTAAACAAATCTCCTGAGAGGTGTGTGCTTTATTGAGTAACTATATGGGTTGGAAATCACGAACATAAATATAAGTCTATGATCTACTACCTAGAAAAAGTTATTGGGCTTGTGTGTAGGTGGTTTTCCAAATATCTCCTCAGTTTATAGGGCTCACTAAATAACACCGAGTGTCTCCCATAGACAGGCATTCTTTACCCCCTTCCCTTTTATGCCAAGACATTCTGTATCTTTATGAGGTTACTCAACCCATTCACTTTGAGCGCAAGGAAGTTAGCACCTGCCACGAGGGATCAGAATGTGAAATGTGATGAGAGAGCCCTGTGATAAGGGCCTGACCTTAGCAAACAAAAATAAACCATCCAAGAAAAAAAGATGAAGAAAAATGCCATAATATACAACATACAGTATTGTGTGGCTCTTAATACAAGCAATGAAAGTCCTGCTCCACAGGAAGCTGTGGCCGAGTCTGCGTGCGATTCACGAGCAGCGATGCCAGAAGACGTCAGGGAACTCCCCCGTTGCCCCATCCGTATGACACTATAACATGATAGTCCCCATTTAAAAAAGTCAACCAGCCATCTTAGTGATAGGAACCTGGGCCCCACTTCTCATCTGGCGTAATACTTCATGGAGCAGGTCCAAACAATGCAGGGCCCTTGAGATCAGCAGGAGCTCAGCACTCTGGTCCCTGCCAAAGTGCAACATGAGAATTGGGGCTGGTATAAATATTCATTGGGAAGTTACGGCCAACCTCCTTGCGCTGTGTGCTTAGTGCAACTCAAAACTGCTCCACCTGGTCCCTTCTGGCTCCCTCATGTCTACCAGGGGCTGGCAGCTGGAAGGCAGGCTGAGCCTTAAGTCTTTCAATGTGCTGTCGCACCAGAGGGGCAGGCAGGAGGGATGACAATGCATATGCGCAGATTCAATTACAGGACTGTCTTTTTCCCAGGTGGGAGGCAACACGGACTGCAGAGAATTCAATGCTTCCATCTGTGCAGGTCCCTTAGGAGATGATTGGTAGTTTGCAAATGCTGGCTGGGGGTGTGGAATAAAGCACTATGGTCGGCCCTCATCACAAAACTCTTGGTGAAAAGTATCAAGCAAACTGAATAATTCGTTAGGTCTACATGCAATCTTTAGTTTTCTCTTGTTTTCCCAAGTAAAATCATCCTGTAACTTCTGCCTGCAAAATATGAACAGCTGCCCATAAGTTCTGAAATAAGGGGCCATTTAGCCTATATGATATAGGATGGAAGTTTTGAGATCTCTGTCTCAGGAATCTCATTGATTTACATGTGACAAAAATTAGAAGTGTCTCACCATTACCATTGAAGGGGAACACACAATGTTCGGAATTTAAAGCCTTGAACAGTTCCTAAAAGCTTGACAAAAATACATACAGAATAATCCTTTCTTCATAATGGTCTACTGTAATTAATTTTAAAGACACTGATCTCAATCTGTTATAATTTGCTGGTGCTGAAGGGGGATGGTGGGCTTTATATTCTGCCTTCTACAAAGCAGGAGTCACTCAATACAAAAGTGAGGCTGCATGCAGAATAGTCAGCTAGCATTAACTGGATTATCTCTCTACAAATAGTTACCATGCTAGAAATTACAAAAATGTTCTATTTTTAGTCCCCAAATAAATGATTTGATGCCTCAGTAGACTATAACATTGAAGAAGTACAAACAACTAAAATATAAATAAGATTATTCTCTGTTTTTAAATATTTCTGAAATCTTCCTTCTTTGTGGGATATATATATATTATATTTTCCCCCTTTAAGTGATGAGCTCCCAAAGAGAGATTGACATGTTGATTAAGTTTATAGAACTAGTCACCAGAAGAGCTTTCATCAGAACTTGATTAGGAGACACTTAGACTTTAAAACATCAAATTGCTGTTTGTAAAACAACTCTTCTCACTACTTTTCCCTCCTAGCTGCTATATTATCATTATTCTTTCTTTCAAAATCCAGAATCTTTAAACTTGTGTTAAAGCTTCATATCCTTTTTC